TAACCGAATGGGATATTTCAAATGTGCTATACTTTGATTTATAGTGTTAGTTCTGGTATTTGGAAGGTAATGAAAGTACCATTCAGATCTATCTAAAAATGTGACTTCGTTGATTTTCGATCTAAGCAGTTTAATGTGACAAATCCCTCTTCTTTATACATGGATTCTTTCACATCCACAATTTCTTGTTTTCCTCTTCAAAAGAAGGTGAAAGGATTTTAGATAACTCACTGTACTGATCAGTCACTTTTATCTGAGGAGATCATATAGTACTTTTCTATTTCTCTAAATTTTGTGAAATCTCTTTTGCTAGCTACAAAAATTTATCGATTCTAGAAATAGATTCCATTTGTTACAAGTGAGTTGAAACAAAGATTTCGGTCTATGAATTGCTAACTTTCGTCAATTCCCGTTGTAAAAAGTTAATTAAACTTTGATATGTTGGTCTATCAAACTAAATGTTTACCAGGTAGTGAATCAAACTGTCCCCCCTATTTCTAAGATATAAAGTTATAAGTAAGAAATATTACTCAGCTGCACAAATATATATTTCGTCAGTCTTAACCTTGTAACTAAAATGACTAAGCTTTCAACACCTAATAAGTCATCAAACCGTTTGGAATTTGATGTAACAACGGGGAGTAGATTTTTTGAGTTTGTTAACCATGTCACCTACCTTGGAAGATAGCTCAGCCCTAGTACGTTGCTGACCGCCAAAATCTCTTTACGGATAAAAATTGCTGGATTAACTTTCACCAAGTCACTCCGTTTATGATATCGGCCTCATATTTGATTACCCATTGAGGCTCGCGTGTATTGCACTGTAGTTTGCTCTAATCTACTGTATGGTTGTGAAACGCGATCATTGGACATAGAGGGTGTGAGAAGGCTTCAAGTGTTCAGTCATCGTTACCTTTGTATTATGGACCATGTGTCGTGGAATCACGTAGAAATTAGGCGTAGTCTCAGACAGAAGAGGTACGTCAGTTGTTGAGTTTGCTTGCGTTCATCAACTCAGTTGGTTGGGACATGTGTTACACGTCTCTAGTCACCATCTACCTCGTTTTACAATGTTAGCTCAAGCAGGCTTATGTTAGAGAAGGTTGCACATCTGTTAGACTCAAACACGCAACAGTCCGGGAAGTCGTTGACTGTCGATCTGAGCCGTGTAAGGAAATGTAGACTTCATGTTTGCCGTCCATATGACATCGGAAGTAGATGATTGGAGACTGTGATATACATTTGATTTCGATGGAGCAGATGCATCTGCATATTATCTTCATATCGATTTTTTGTACTGTTTTATCCCCTTCTCTTTCCTTCTTATGACTTTCTACTACTCTTGATTATTTACTTCCTTATTTATCCTTCTTTCATCTCGGTGCCTTATACCTTTGTGTACTTTTGTCGTGTATGACAACTTTGACTGTTACGCAGTGATGCCAGATCACATACTGATATTGGCTGATTAAAGACGAAGTCTACCGTTCACCAACTTATTCATTAAATTTACTTTGGATAAAAGAGAGAAATAAGCTCGTTGAACTTGTAAACCAATCTCAATTGAACTTGAATTCAGGCATTGGTTACACATATTGAACGCATCTCATTGTTTAGTGTGATCTGAATTTAGAGTCGTGGCTTATTCGCTTGATTTGCATCTCTATGCTTTTGAAGAGCACAATGGGATAGAACAAAATGTTTCCCTTTTTGTATTTTTACTAGTTTCACTAAATATTTCCTCCTACTTTTTGATTTTTCTTCTGAGTACTGTTGGGAAGTGTGTTGGGCTTCAGATACGCAGACATGCGGTTCTATTTATTCCCAACATTGATATAACCAACCAGGGCTTGTACGAACACTCAGCTTTTCTTGTGTTGAAAATAAAGGAGATAGTATTAAATGTTTGATTTTATACTTCGTAAGCAGTGAGTCTGCAATATCATGTATTTTGATTTATTCGAATTTGTTGAAAAGTTTGAAACGTTTTGTGTGATTATTGTTTCTTGATACTTTCAATTCTCTGTGGAATTGATCAACATCTGTTGGTATATGGTCTTCTATGTGGATTCCTCGCCATTTCTTGGATCTTTATTATTATAGTTACCGTGGTTGTGGCTATCAGTGGAATCCAGGACGCTCTTTTCGTCCTCCCTGGGACTCGTCAGCCGGATCTACCTGATAACTCCCGAATAGGACGAAACGCGCATCCTGGATTCCATTGCTAACCACAACGAAACTCATTATGTGTTATTGTCTGATGATTCTCTTTGTCTTCTCTCAGTATGTATGCATGTAATACAATACATCTGTGTTTGTGTTGTATTTGGTTTCTCTGTAAGGTTGTTTATTTCGAATTAACATTATTTTGAATATGCATAAACACGTATCATTTTGTTTACATTACAAGACGCTAGTGAATGATGTGTATGGTTAGTGAACGAGTATTGTATTGTGCTTTCTCTGTCTCTATGTCTCATTTGTACTTCTCTGTATAGGTTTTACCGCAGTAATGTTTCACTTTTCACTTCTTTTTTTCACTTTTTACGTCTGGGAATTGTAAACAAGTAACTGAATAAATGATGACAATGTGACATTCAATTTAAGATGGATGTTATTCGATTGCGATCCGTTTCATGTTGTGATTAACTACGAGCTTGACAACTGTGACTATTTTTTACACACACATAGTTTATTGACTGTTTTTTGTAATGAACATATCGGATCGTAATAGTGATAACTTTGTGAAGGTTATTGCATAGGTGATATGCCACCAACGGGTTTTAGTGACAAAATATTTCAGTGTAGTGGATTCTGATATTCAGTAGCTTATGAAATAGAAATAATCACTTTGTTGTAGTTCAGTTGGGGAGTGCTATATTTTTTCAGTTGGATAGTTAAGTTGGTCAGCTTAAATTGTAGACAACAGTATCGACACCAACTTAGAGACGATTTTCTAGAATTTTTTGAAAAGTAGCATATCTGTTCGTTTTGTTAAGATTAATTGTGATTGGTTTTCGTCAGACACTGTTATTGTCATGTGCATCTCTGCTCTTATTGAACGTTTCACTGACTTGATACTTTGCAGTATGCATCTTGTGGGTGATGCGGTGTTGGGATTTGGTGTTAAAGGTACTATACACGGAGAAAGGTCAGTAGATGTAGCTTATCTACTCACCAAAGGGAAATGTGTTAAGTATGCTGATGGTGATATCCATCTACTTTTTAGAGGATGAGTGTACTGCGCCGCAGGCCACCCGTCCTACCAAGGGGCTATGAAATATGGAGGATGAAAGTAGATGTAAGAGAATATAGGTTCTCGAGCACATATATCTTCATGGTATTGCTCACATATGGTGCAATCACCTATGCCTGGGCAGTGTAGAGTTTAGATGAAGGGTATTGAGCAAGGGAGGCAAGTTAGTCGAGAAAGTTGTGAACCTTCAGCGACTGGGTTCGTTCGAACATGTGTTACGCATCGCGAGTCAGCCCCTTCCTTGAAGTGCAGTGATAGCAGAAGTTGGCTCAGGTTGGTAAAAGGTTCGGGGTGACCAGACTAAGGTGTGGCACCAGTTGATGGAGTCTTTGTTTGTTGGTCTGAGCCGTGCCTCGATGGGTAGATTGCGACTGAGGTCCCTGAGACCGTAGAAATCAACGGTTGCAAAGTCTTGGTGACTTTGCTGAAGATCGGTCGCAGTGGCGCAGATATATTCACTCTGACTTCTAAAACTTAAACATTTTTCACGTACTTTTATCTTCAGATTGTTTCCGCGCCCACACATCTTTTTCTGCTTTGATATTCGTCTTTTTCTATCCACTTGTTGTTTATAGGCTACTGTGAAATGTTTCAACTTGAACCGATACACTTCTGTGAATGTCGATTTCGTCCGTCTTTTCCGACTTGCTTAGGCACTGTTGACCGCAAACATGATGTTAGCATAATCAGAATTAGGTTTATGGAAAGTTCAGAAAAAGCCAGATCAAGATGTGCCGGTTCGTGAAGTCTTTGACTGTTGGTCCTAACCTTGTAGGGAAATATAGGCTTGCTAGTTAAAATCCTCGAGATTGTAGGAATCAATAATGGGATTCTGTGTGATGAAACTTAAAGTTGATCACAATGGCTCAGATGTATATACATTTTCATTAAACCTTATTCTTTTATCCCCTCATATTATACACTCTTATTTACCTTAAGGTTATTGCTTTTCTATCCCTATTGTGTTTTTGAAGTCTCTTAACTAATGTACTTCTATGCAATGTTTTATGCTGACCTGTTTTTTGTCTTTATTTGTCCGAATAAATAAGTGGTTGAATTAACACGTGAACGCCAGTTGAATGTGTTTATATGCCTTGTGCATTGTGAATACGTTCTTTCAGTGGTCTTTAGTAGAACTGGTAAACATCTTGATCTACATTATTTCTGTTTAATTTCACATCAGTGTGTTTGAAAACGAATACTTATCTATTCATTATCACTAACATCTTGAGGTAAAAGCTTTTGTGTACTACAATACCAACGTTTGATGTCTGCTGACCCTTGATTCTAAAACAGATGATAGACTGCTAGCTACAGTTATCCTATGTACAACTACGGTATATACGAGCACATTGTTTTATTTAGTCTGTTTACTGGGTGAGATACTCATTTGTTAAAGTCTCGAGCTACTAGTCCTAATATCGTTGAAATTACCAACCTATATTCTAGATTTCCGGCATACTGTTTTATATAGGAAAGGTTTTACAACTGAACTGTTAGTTACAGCACTAATCCAGTTTGTGTCATCTGTAAATCTTGTAATAACAAAGGTGTTCCGCTTCTAACACTGAACTCTACTTCTCAGTAATGTCCTTCCTTTAGTAATTAACTGTGGTTGCAACACTTTTCCTATAACCTTCTGTTATTCTCTAATTTCATTTGAAATATTTTTATTTAATTAACCACGTTAGTGCTAGAGTTGAATTATTCTCTTTTTTTTAAAAAAAACTTTTATTATTTCTAGGCTTTGGATTTTTATACGCTCCCACTACTCTGTCCAAATCCTGAACTGCACGCACCAGACTTACAATATGTCACTCCAGTCGACCCAAGCTTGGAGGTAACCAAGTGCCTTGAACGTGGACTCTTACCCATAGGTGAGTAGCGTTTTGAAAGTATCAGAAGTTATATACATATATATACGCGGGTTCATATCTGGCGTTAAGGTTACTTGCATCACATTGCCACTAGATGCAAGTAGTCCCATACAATGGGTGGTAATTGAATGGGGAGAAGTGCTATACCTTTACTTCGACGAGGCCAAGCCCCATTGGTGTATTAAAGGTTTATACAGATGATTATGGGCAGTCAAACTATTGTTATAACTGGTAATTGTGATCCATTTTACACGTGCCATTCTCTTTCATTACGTAGCTTTAAACATTTTCTACCAAACCTCAATCAGCACTCTGAAAACTCTCGTATGTAAATTAGCAACTCTGCACATGGTTTCGCAATCACCAACGAGTCACACATCATGTGAAGTCCTGTTGTATCATCTGACTGCTTAAATCTTGGTAGGTGAACCAGGTTTGAACACGCGATTCATTGCTGAGTTGACCATTTTCCTTCAACTCTGCGGAATCCCAAAGCTATCTGAATACATAGTCTCACTCCTAGGAGCGAAGGCAACCACAATCTCCCGCCAATGTTTACCTAAATGCCTAATGTTTTGGAAATGCAAAACAAATAGCATGTAACAGCTGATTCAATGTGATTTGAGTAGCCTTGATTGTTTAAGACGATATCATCTCTAGTTGTTACATCGAAAGTGATTGCCATGCATGTTTTATGGATGACTGAAATATTCAGTAGGTCAAAAATTATTTCATCGTCACAATAATAATAATAATAATAAATAATAATAACTATTATTATTATTACGGAAGAACAAGTCGTTTTTTGATACTGGTGAGCAAATGGATTTCGTAGCTCAGTTGATAGGACACCGGGGTGGGGTAGTAACACGGAGGTTGGTGTTTTGAGTTCAGCCACGACCCTTATTTTCACTACACCTTCAATCATCACTCAATATTATTAATACGAGTCTACCAAACCATGACTATCTTAGCTAGTCACACTGGTCAACAATTTGTTATTTTCTCACTGAATGTGACTTCTCATCTCTTCGAAAATAGTTAGTTTAGTAGTGTTTGTATTTGTTGTGAAATTCAATGTGTAACACCTATTTCAAACCAATGACTTTTTCATGGGATTTCACTGAAAGCTGATATTACCCATGGTGGAAGTGTCATTCATATGTTGTGGCTCAATGGTTTAGAGTGTTGGCTATCAACCTTCACGCAGTAGATATGGCTTATTGCCTACTTCATGGATGTGTACAAGGTTGCTAAGTGCGTTTCGTTTTCACTTGTCAACTTTATCAATACATTTATAACTGAATATGTCTGTCAAGAACTCGATAATTTACTGATCTACAGAAGGTTAAATGATATACTTCTATTCTGTTGTGTTAGATTTCTTCAAGTGAACGGACTAATCATCGATCGATCTGTTGTTGTTTATCCACGGATTTCTTCGTTAAACCCCTCACCTTCTGTGAACCCTTCATCTCAGTCATTCTAACAGTATGTGTGCATTAAAAATATGAATGGTTGTCATGTTGCTTTGGTTATCCAGCAAACATTCTTTCATGTACCACTTTGGCTGACAAGCACCTCAGCACCCCGTTTGTTAGCTAGGGTTGTGTAACATATATTCTACCATCAGCAAATTTCCGAAATGAAGCTCATTAAATCAGGTTTTTCTCACTAGGTGCATAGCTTCTAGCTGTTGGTATATTACAGTATACATTCACTTATGTTACAAGGGGTTTCATTTAAGTTCCAAGTCATTAGTTGTTAGGTTAAAACTGATGTACATTCATTCCGTACGCCTTCATTCCTATTCTTTTCGTTTGTAGGTATGAAACTGGATGCACTGGCCTGTCATGGACAAGACGGTTGTCGTGTACTACAGGTTCTGGGTGGAGGTGCTATTGCTCGTGATCAAATTCTCGTCACAAATGATTATGTGACAAGTTTAAACGGTCATTCTATGCGTCACTTGGATAATCTTGGAGCATTTGAAATCTTGCATTCACTATCACAGAGTTCCGCTGTAATTGAGTAAGTCTTTTCGTGTGTTGTGCACAATTTCGTGGAATTTTCATAGTTCCTGTTGTTGATATTTGTCTGCTTTCTTGTTAAGCTGTTCTGTGTTCAGTAATTTAGGCTCATTTATTAGGGTATTTGTGCGTTAAAATTGCGGACACTAGGTTGTCTGTCACACTACCATCTTACAAAGTATTACATATGGAAGTAGTCTTTGATGAGGTCGCTTAGATCGATGATGAGTTGTTTACAAGTCTTTTTCGAAATTGGGAAATGATTAGCAATTATCATCTTCATCCTGCTACATTTTGTCTCCCTTTGGGTATTTACTTATCCACAATAATTACTCAGCATTCCGATTATTTTTTTTATGTGGTAACTGCACTAAGATTATCTTTCGTACTTATCACTTGCTATCTCAATCTTTCATTATATGTGAATAATTTAGTTAAAACAAAGGCATGCTTTATTGCATTTCTATTCTATACTGATTGGTTTCCATCAATTTTGATGTCACATACTCAAAGAAGAATGTTTTGATGGTAGGGAATGTATATTCTTCTTTATCATGGACTATTCCAAATGGAAGGAGTGACTGTTTATTTCATAGATGCCTCAGACAAAAGGAATTCTGTCACTTTCTGTGTTATTTTTAAACATACGTTTTGATATAATCTCATTGGCATTTTTTCCCATTGTCGATGTCCTTTATTGGTTAAATAGAGCAAGGGGTATGATTTTATCAGAATGCTGTGGACCCAATGTGTTTTGCGGTACCACATCAGCCGTTTACAACATAAATTAGTTTTAGTTTCATGGTATACTGAAAGTGTGCAAATACATGAATCTATATGATGGAAAACTACCTATTTAAGGGGGGATAACAGTAATGTTACGTAACTGTAAGGTCACAAGAACTGATGATTGTAAGGTTGTTTACCTAAGAAAATATTCAAGGGATATTCTAGAGAAGAGAGCAGAAGTCGGTCAACTGACAACTATTTCTCTATGAATACACAAACTTAGTTTTAATCGCTTAATGGCTACCCCTCCAGCAAAATACAATAAGTTCATTTGTTTATTGATTATTTTAAATCATTTCTGGATACCGACATTAAGTCCAAAACCACTCAGGTGAGAAACAATTGGACTTTTGAAGATTGTCATTCCTCTTAGTCGTAAACTCCTTGAAAACACGCTTAGATATGCAGTCACAAACTCTTGTCTGTACCCATCCATTGTATATATTTTGACACATACATATGATTTGGTGCATGCAACATGAGATATATAGATACCTTCCAACCGTAGAGCTATCCGCGTAATAAATAGTGATTATAACCTGACTCCTGAACAGTTCCTGTTTATCTTAATTGCATTTTAGTTTGTTTATTAGATTTATTATCATACAGTGGAACTGAATAATTAGTTTAGTTGGTTTCATTGTTAATATAGAAGTGAATCTTGGACACAATGGTAGATTGTAATTCCATTTCAGTCTGTTTATTAGAAATATCACTTAGTGAAACAATATCATTTACTGGATAACGTTTCAGACATAATTGATTGTCCATATTCATATCATGAGCCAGGTTATCCCGTCATGATGCCTATAGTAGATTTTAGAAACACTCTGACTTACAAGTTGTCTAAATATTTAGCAATGGTGTTAGGTCCAATAAGAAATCACTCAAGATCCTGACTTACTAAATCATGACTTGAAGGATACATTAGATGATATACGAGTCGATAACTGAAAAAATAGTTATAACATAACTACATTACAGGAATATACCAATCAATTTGGCTCTAGAGGCATTTAGAAATGGACTTTAAGATGACGAGATTACGCACCGAACTAAGGTACCGATCGAGGAAATCATACTGGGAGTACAATTAGGCCTGACTTCTACAGTTTTAAGTTTCAAAATAAAATATGTAGACAAACTGAAGGTGTTGCCGTGGGATCACCAATATCCCCTGTCTTCGCAGACATATTCGTTGGATAGTTGGGAACAGATGGCCCTTCAAACATTTAATCCTACTCCAAAAATATGCTTCCATTATGTAGATGATACGTTCACAGTACTGAAATCGGAACGCATCAATAGGTTCTTGGCACATGTACATTCAGTAGTGAATGCAATCCAATTTGTCTATTACTGAGATAGTGATGTAGGTGACCTAGCAATATTGGATTGCAAGATTAAACGAAAACAAGAAAGTTTAGAGACTAATGTCTATAGGAAACCTTCCCATTCAAATCGCTATTTAGACTGAATCATCTCACCCCATCTCAGTTAAAGCAGGCTTAGTTAAATGTCTAAGTAAAAGGGCAAAAACCCTGTAGAAGTAGTAGTAATCACACAGGTGATATAAATAATAATTCTGCTAATAATAGTAATAGTAGTCACATGGGTTAAGAGAGAATTCAAAACCTCTGCTGTGTTACCATACAAAGTTTGCACTTCAAAAGCATTACGAAGAATTCTCAATAAGGCCAGGATTAAAGTGGCATTTAAACCAACAAAACTTGCTTAGAAGCAAGCTTTGTGGGTTAAATGATTCTTTTGATCTAATTAAGCAAAATAATCTGGTTTACCAGATTCTTTGCAATGATTGCGAAGTCAAATAAGTAGGTCAAAGCAGTCGACCAGGGTCAATTAGAATAGTACAGCACAAAAATATAGCTAAATCAAGATGGGTAGATCCTAATAAAATAGGAAATGAGTGACTTTAAATGCCACCGTAGCGATAACTGAGGTGACCAATTAGACTTATGTGTTGTATGAAAAATTGCCTTTCCAGCCTAAATGAAGACACCTGATTGGTAATTTCGATCGTTGCTAGAGTGGCCTTTAAAGTCAACCTAAGAAATTTAGAAAAAAGCTTGGCTGTCGCTATGCACGCAATTATGCACAATCCCACAACAAGATGGGATAAAGCGATAGCAATAAAACTTAGTTGGGCGGAGGGAGAGATTGCTAACCGAATCTTTGTTTACTATAAACTCTTTCTCAAAGTTGTAGTTACTTGATATGAATATGAACAATAAATTATGTGCGAAATGTTATCCAATAAATAATACTGTTTGACTATAGGACATTTCTAATAAACAGACTAAATGATTTCATTGTCATTACTTACACAACAGCGGGATGTAAGACTCATAATATTTAGTGATGGTGTGTATGCGTGTGTAAGACAGACAGAATATTACTATTGGTTCATATTTAGGGCAATGAGTTTTATTGATACCGAGTGATGATTGAAAGTAAAATGAAAATCTAGGCCGTGACAAGATTCCGATCAGCAACCTTCAGGTCCGAACTCGGCAGAGGGCCAGTTCTTTTTGCATTTTTGTGTGAAGTATGACAACTTGAATTGATGATGCTTTTGTGTACTTTGTCTGTCTTTTTATATATCTTCAATAAGGAGGAGTGTTTACCAACGATTCTTTTATTACCAAATTATTTCGACAACTAGTCTGTGCTACAAACTTCGAAATCCACATTTTATTTCGAATGCATGCAACAGTCTCTGTGTTAGAAACGTTTCAAACTGTAGTGAGAGCTTCTTATAAGAATGTATATAAGTATTATATACAGCAACGTTGAAAGTCCTAACGATCGACTAGTTAGGAATCAAGCAATCAAAGTACACCATATTTATGTGGAACATAAAGCGCAAGAACAGAATAGGAGACTATATTCAAATAGATAAAGTTTTATAAGTATTCTCACCATTGTCAATTGCATATTCTGAATAAACAATATCGCGTGCTTACTTAAACGTCTCGCCAATACTACTATTATTATTGTAGTTTGATAAGAATTATATTATTTACTATGCCTCACCGTCAGGTCTTCCCGTCCAGCATTCCTGTTTTTAAGTGAAGAAAGTTACTTAGCCTTAGTAGTGGCGGAGATAACCAGAGGTATATAGGCCTTCTGGGGTACCTAACCTGTAAACCGAGGGGATTTCTTACGACGCTGTCCGGTTTGTTGTCATATTGTGTGTCCCATGATGCCTGCGAGGTATAATGAGAGCTGTAGGGTATGTGCCTACTTTCTCTCCCGAGTGACATGCTATTAGGACCAACTTGGTCAGCGTGCTCGCCTATGTCTCTGGAACGGGTTGCAAGTCAGTAATGAGATCCATTCTGATGACTACACCAGTAGTCACTATAGAAAGCTGAAAGCGATGAAGCTTGTATCATCCTTCCTGACTAGGGAATGGGTCTTCGGAAGCAGTCGCCGATTGACTCCTGAACCTGACCAAGTGTCTGCTAACCACTTAGGCAGTAAGGGCTTTAATTCCTGGGTGCTGCTGTCTAACAGTGGTGGAAGAAGGGTTGTTATTAGGAGATTGATAAGTGCGAGATTCAGCCAACCTTAGTGGAATAACTGCCGTCTTTGCTACGAAGATACGAGTAGATACCGCGGACTTTGGAACCTTCTCCATTAGTAGGAGTACATAGCCTATTATTTACACCATTTCCATGGATATTTATCTAATTGGAAGCCCACCCATTGGTTGCTGACGTGTAGCTAACCTTAATACAGGTAAGACTTGTAAAACTGCACTAACAACGCATGATTTATAGTCACATATTTTGCTACTCTAGCTTGATTTTGGTTTTTTCCTCTCGTAACAGATTTTTATTAGCGGAGATTGTGAGTCCTACTTATAAAACTATTTATTTGATAAACATTACGGATTGACTTCCTAAAGATTTCCGGTTATTAGTTTTATTGGGAAATGTAACAATCCACCAATATCTACAGTCGATTACATTAGTTGGAGTTGATAGCAAACTTTAGTTATGGTAGCATTCGAACGGGTGATCTCACGGTTACTAACTGTTGTCTTAGCTCAGTAAACAGATATACATCCCCATAGCAGTGAACCTTATTATCAGAATCCAGTTACTGCATCTTAGGCACCCTTTAAATTCATCCATCATTCTTTTACATAGACTAATACACCAGTCAACTTCTGTCTTGTTTAATTTAGTCAGTATTCAACCTGTTTTATAGCCGATGATTTGAATGATTATTGACCATTAGTACCTAAACTGTTCATTACAGATATGCACTGAAAAGCCACTTAGTCAAGTCAACTGTTAGTTGATTGAAACAAGGTTAATCACACTTTGGACAGTGGAATATGTATGCTAATTCTTTGTTTATATAAAAATAAGTTTCAGAAAAATTGTAGTTTGACCTTTATCCGTACATTGTTTTCTTTAAATTTCGGAATTGTTTACAGTGAAAGCTGGACTGAATGTTACTATCCTGCAGTTTGCATTATTTCTCTCGTTTCTATGTACTGAATGGAATTTACCATCCACTTAGATATAAAAGTCTGATTTTAGTCCAGCTGATGACGCTTCACTGCTGCAAATTATCTTAGGTGTTTTCGATATTACTCGCATCTCATGTATAAAAGAAGAGACGCTTGTTTTGTTAACATAGTGAACTTTTTCTTGAAAACATCAGCTAACATATAGTTTTACTATCCAGTTTTACTGTCGACAGTTTCTCATCTCAGCTAAAAAATGTTCTCATCACCATTGGTTTTAAGTTCTCAGTTGTAGCACATTAGAGCTCAATCTATTTTACCTGTTTAGGATTACTAGTATCATTCGGAAGAAATATAGTTGGTTGAGTTTTTTAGTTTCCACTTTATTTCTTCTGAAACGTAAAAGAGTCACTTATTTTGTGTAGCATCTGTTAGATGTTTTAGCTGGGACTTCACCTAATTTTGATGAAGTTGTAAACCTTCATCTAGTGAGGTGGCTATGGCATGTGCTGTGCATCCTAGTTCGTTGTCTGCCTTGTCACACATTGTTAGCTTAAGTAATTTTAAAGTGGAGGAAGGTCAGGGGTGGCCAAACTAAAAACATCGTATCAGTACATGACGTCTTTGACAGTTTCCCTGAGCCGTGTAGGGAAATATAGATTTCTAGGTTGGAGTTCTCACAACAGTGGAAACCAGTGGTTGAAACTCTAGATGATATGGTTCAAAACTGATATCAGTGGTGTAGAGGTATCCATACATTATCTTCATCTTAATCTTCATACTGAATTCAGTATTTTCTTACTCCTCCTTCCTACCCTGTACTGTTTTCATTTAATTGTAACTAGTTCTTCTTGATCTTTCATCTTATTTATTGATTTATTGCTTGATGTACTGATATAAGGTGGGCCAACTTGAACCGTTTTGAAGTAAGTACCTGGTTCTTTTTTGATGATGATGATGACTACTACTACCACTTATTGTTGGGATGTATTTATGTATTGCTGTTATTGCTTCTTTTTGAAATTTTTGTCTAGGATAAAGTACCTTCCTGCTTCTGTTGTCGAGTCACATCGAATTGAATGTTTATCCAAAGCAATGAATCCGTCAGTTGATAGGTTTAATCAGAAGAGGTTAGTTATTCTTCTTACCACTGAATACATTTTTATTCAGTTGTTAGTTTGTAAAGTTTTATGAATTTTGAAATAGTCAGTCCGTGATAAAAATAAATTACTTTGAAATCAACTAATCGCCACAAAACATAAAATATTCATTGTGCATTAGTAGTTTGCTTCGAGATGGATTTCCCAGAGTTCTAATCAGAAGTTATGATCTTTGAAGTCATGCAAGTCGGTTACGAGGATTAGTACTCACTAATGCTATATCGCAGATCGATGGATGTAGGAAGATGTAAGGCACTGGATTTCAACCCAGTAGTTGAATGGTAACATGCTCACTAAGAAGCTTAGAGAGGTCCCTGGGCTTGCGACCCCTGGAAGGTTCGCTGATACAGACCACTGAAGAGTCCCGAACTAGGGTGAAATAGCCTCACAGTACTTCCAAGTCTTCAATATTCCTTCAGCTGATATCCTTCCTCGATGAAAACTGCTTTCAAAATATTTTCATTTGCGTTGAACAAACAGTTTACTTAAATTTGGTGATTTGGGCAGTCAAACTGTCTTTGCACACGACGTAGTCCTATCAGGCACCGTTAATAAGATGTTGGCTGAAGTATATAGGTCTGTGGCTCATTGGTTTAGGGAGATGATTTTCAACCAGTGGATTACGGATTCGAGCCCTGCTCCCACGTACCGAGGTTAAGGCGACCAGTTACTATCGTTAGTCCTCATGCAATGGGTGTGACTCATTGCCTACTGCATGAATATACACACAAGGTTGATGAGTAGATTTCAAAAATTTTCACTGAAGTTCGGACTAAGTTTCTTGAGATTTAAATCATATCATTGGTACTCATAGTATGTGCTACCGATTGATTGCACATCAAAATGATGTTATTTCTTTTGCCTCTGCACAACACGTTTGGTTCACCTTACGGATTTTTTTTTAATTCTTATAGAAAGGTGATTTTTATCCCCACTACACACTATGAGAAGCCTAATCGACTCAGAGAATACGTCTAAGTGTGATTTTATTAAGTGGATCTCCTACGTAAAGTTATTTCAGGTTGATATGATTATTGCATGTGTTTATCTATAATTTGTATTACACTTGAAAGGAACTTCCCTTGATGAAACTGATTTCAAAACCTTTCTATGTGGTGCTGGAATTTTGTACCATCCACTTACTGTGGATAACAGTAATGATGTTGACGGCTTAAGTAGACCACTTTTGTATTTTCACTCACATTTTCAGCGTTTTATTTCTGAAAAGGGGGAGTTGTATCAAGTATTGAACTCGACACTCAATTTCGACCTTCCCGCTAGAGTTTGATGGTTGAAATGATTTTAATGTCACATATATTTTAAAGGTGTCGTTACTTCAACCATATACTAAAGGAGGAATTAAAGAGTAGTATAAATTCTATCTTCATATTACTATTAGACGTCAACCAGTTATCACACAATGTGAGTGTAACTGTTCTTTTTCCTTTCAGCTCTATGCCTTATTCGTCTATTATTCAACCAGTAAATTGGTCAGTTCCAATCGAGATTGTGCTGCATCGATCCGACCCTAGTCAACAGTGGGGTTTAGTTGTATCAGGTGAGCTAGTGTTTATCTCTGCCTCCAGAAAAATTAAATAGATACTGTTGTTTATGAGTTCTATTGTCTTATTCTTCGGTAGAATACTTTTTGTCGACACCCGAATTTATTAGCTTCCAAGCATGATATTTTTATTTGCGTTATTGTTGCGGTAAGGATCATACGAATATATGAAATCAGACGCTTGAGTTTTAGCCAGAGTCATTTCATCAAATCTCACAGGACTCTTATCATGGTTGTCACTATCTCATAAACCAAAGGTGAAGCCTATTATCTGATGATACATGAAGCTGTGTGTGGCTGTTGATTCGTTATTTTACGCCAGTTGCATAGTGAATGGATTCATTTTTTATGCATTTCTGTTGGACGTAACGTTCAGTAGGTGGTCGCTTACCCTTTTTTAAGCACGATTCTTCAGTGGTTTTAGAACAGATTATACATCTACCTCTTCTTTGTACAAGAGAAACTATTAGATACATAGAATTTCACTTATTTCATAAACTTCAAGGGTCAAGGAGATAGACTGGTCGAAGTAAAACGTTGCGGTGAAGTGCCTTATTACAACTTGTAGCACTTCGCAGGAGAGCACACAAAACAGAAGTGGATAGAAAAAGGAGTCGTATGAAAGTCAACAAACCTAGAAAAAGCGACTAGATGTATGAAGCTTAGCGATAATGTCTCAGACTTCAAAGATGATAATGGTTGTATGCATACATCTGCCTCACTGTGACCGATTTTAAACCATATGACTAAAATTCTCTAACCTTTAATTCTTGTCATTTTGAAGGGATCACAGCTGGATTGTCCATATGTTTCTCTATTAAACGACAAGTACACTGCGCTACAGTCTGTTCTGTCCTGCTATACAGCTGTGAGACGTGATTGTTAAAAGTAGTGATTACAGGTATTCGACCTAAAGTATTTCCGTAGCATTGCTCATGTATGAACAATATTGAGGAAAGGTGAAGGGTATTAAGCATACAGGAACCTTCATAGAATGAGGTGACTTAGACATGTGTTGCGTATGCCGACCTATTGCCTACCTCGATATGTCATGCTAGAGGAAGTTGGAATAGGTTGGAAGAGGGTTCAGGGCGGCCGACCGGACCAACACTTCGGACCAGTTGATGAAGTTTCTTGTTGTTGGTCTGGGCCGTTTGAGGAGGTATAGACTGTCTAGTTGGGCTCCTCAAGACGATGGAGACCAGTGGTTGAAGACTGTAGGTGACATCGCTAAAAATCATTCACAATGGCGCAGATGTATTCACTACTTGACGTCTTTGAAAGCTTGATTATTTCCACAAACTGTTATCTTCAAATTGCTAATTCTGTCACACAATTTTGTCTACTTTGATATCAATCTTTTTTTATTCACTGTGAAGTGTAGCAAGTTGAGCTGATACGCTTGTGTACTACTAGGTTCTACTTTGATTTCGTCTGCCTACACAATTCAAAGCAACAGGGAGAAACTTAATTTTAGTCTGATCAGATTTAGCTTTTTCCGAATTTAACATTGTTAGTCTTGTCGGGTGTTAAATTGCTGTCGGCATCACATTTCGAGGTCACTTCAGTTGACGAAGATTCATGACCACATGGACCAACTTTCCTTCCTTGCTTAGTGATCTTCGCTTAATCTTACCATTGCTTTGTTCCTCATAGTAAGCCTTTTTCTACACACCAACGGTAAGTGGTTATCTCCATCTAGACTAAAGTCATATTTATTATTCTGTCGAAGTTATCTTGTCTTCCATATTTCGTGTGCCATATACCAATCTTGTTTGGTTTTCATTGTTTATTCGGTTGGTCCATGTGTGTGTGTGTGTGTGTTTATGTATGATAGTGATCCTATGTTTTTCATTGTGATTTAATTTGAATGAAATTGTAATATTCAACTAAGTGCTAAATCTCATGTAATTGAAGTAGGTTTTTTTTAATTCAGTTTGAGATATAGTGAACTATCAGTTGAGCTTGTTGTCTCTTTCTCCTTCCTTCCCTCCCTCCCTCCCTCCCTTTCTCTCTCTCTCTCAATAGTTGTGCAAATTTGAATGTTTCAACAATATTGTATTGCACAAGCTTTTTATTTTAATATGCGTATACACAGTGTCAGTATGTTGTTGGTGATCAGTTTTCATATTTTGAAATTGAGTTTTTATCCAATCATGTTAGGTTTGAATAGTTGTTTATCGTTAATTCGTAAACGAATTATATACAATTTAAAAAAAAGGAATAATATCTAAATATTCTAAAATCTAGGCGTTTTTATCTCTCGAATAGTATTATAAATTATTCATAGTTAGATTTTCACTTCCCTGAATAATTATGTCATGCATCATGTTTGTATCTGTGTGTGTGTTTGTGTGTACGTCGTCTTGTTATTGACTACTCGATTACTGCATTCACTACTTTGATGTTAACAGTTTGACTAGTTTCATGTAGAAATAAGTTTATTGTGTTTACAGTTTTCCATGTTCAGAAGTACTTCGTTGATATCGATGTCTGAACGTCTGTAGTTTTCAACACAATCCATGCACCACCTATGTGTTCATAAACTGAATTACACTCAATAACCGTGTTCACATTCGTGCAGTAGGTAATGAGCCATACCTATTCTGTGTGAACTACTAAACTACCTAACTGCGCAGAACTCGGTAGGTGGAAAGGGGTTCGAACCCGCCACCCACTGTTTTTGATAGTCGAGTGTCTAAACCAAATCACCTACAGCTTGCTTCAAATACCTTTTTAAGCTATACAATTGGATATTTAAGTAGTAGGATTAATTACTTCGACATTTCTGTCCAATAGCATGCGTCGATGTAATAAAGCATTTAGTAAAAAGTAGTATGCCGGAAAATCGCAGTACTGTGCTATGCTCCGGCTAGTTGATGGTAATGAAATGCTAACCGTTAGAAGTTCATCATGGACTAGATTCTTATAGTTTGAAGGTTTTTCTTTTATAGCAGCTGGAGAAGAATTCATTACTTTTTCTTTCACCCATTTCTGGAATGTCAGTTACTCTTTACTTCATTCAACAAGACTAATGAGTCAAAAAATTCTAACAAACCTATGTTGAGTTTGAGTCTTATGAAACGAGACTCATAGCATTTACATACTACATTTTTTTTATACTTCTTTGTACGTCGTTGGCGAGAAGCACAACATAACCAGACTAAAACACGATATCAGTTCATAAAAGCTCTGGCTGTCGATTTTTAGTTATTATAAACGATACTTAAACTTTCCGGTTGTGGTCCATGTCTCGGAACCAATCGCAGTGATGCAGATGCATCCATGCCTTATCTTCATGATGGCCTTCTGTCGCACTTTGTTGCCTACTTTACTTTCTTTTCTTTTTGTTTTATGGATTCCTGTGACTTGTGATTACACCATTTTTCATTTCCTTGTGTTTCTTTGCATTGCCTTGTATTGTAATGTTGAAGTATGCCGAATAGAAATGTTAAACAGTAACCGTAAGTTTAGATGTAGCTACTGACTGATTGGTTAAATCGTTTACTTTTCTATTTTCATTTAATTGTTTATCATTAGTGTGTGTTCACATACCAGATTGAGCTGATGCATAAGAAATTATAAGGAAATTTTGTAATTTTAATATTTGTTTTGGTGTTTCTCATTTTCTTATAAATATTTTTATATATTTACGTTTTCAGGTCCTGAAATATGCTCAGTATTCAATTGTCTTCCACCGATGAATTTAAAAAATCCAAGTATTATTTCTGAAATCTATCCTAATAGTGTTGCGAAGATTTGTAAACTACTCAGTTGTGGTTTGTTAATTTTACAAGTGAGTTAATCCTGTTTTTTGTTTTTTTAACTTACTTTTCTCCGTAAATTGTTTCATTGGCCTAACACAAAGGGCGAACTACGACTTAATGAACTTTAATCATAAATTTGTCTCTTCCCATCCATTTGTTCTTTGTGTGCTACCGTAAATTGTAGCAAGTTAAACCGACGCACTTGTGTGCAAGGTCCTACATCGGTTTTGTCTGTCTGTCTTCTAACACACCACATATCAGTGCATAGGAAGGAAATCTCTGGAATACAAGTTGTCCAAATGATGATGAAGGACATACAGAGCCGTGTATTGAAGACATGACGTCATTTTCACCATTGTAGTAACTGATTTTGAACGTCATTTAGACAGTTTAATGTTAACTGTATGGTTCAGGTTAACAGTTAGAGACATCATAGATTTGCTCAATATGAGGCTTTTTCCACTGCATTCATATTTGAGTTAATATATTTCACCTCAGTGTAAGCGATGACTAGGCATTCAAGTCACATACTACCGTCATTTAAGTCGCAGTTATGCAACTTTTACTATGCTATCATGCTTTGTATTGCTCATAGTGATTGTTGGTTGAGAAATTTTCCTGTAAACTGTTTATTTCGCTGTCTATGTTTTGTGTATATTTGACAATAGCATACAGATTGGCTGCTCATATATTTCTGGAAAATCTTTCAACCACTGACAACCAATTTGGGTTTATGATATACAAACGGTCCTAATCTTGTTCTGTTCTAGTTATCCAATTATGTTGTGTGATGTGTCCAAATTTCGGCTTAGAGCAGAGATGCTGGATGTAGTAACTAAGTCATCTGTGTCATTCATTTGTTCTGAGAAACTATATTCCGGACATGCATACACGCAAACACAGACAGACAAATATGCATATTAAACCTTCATCTTTCTTTATGCACTCGAATTAGGAAACATACAAAAATGATACGTCATTCTTCTCAACTTTGTATTAATGGACGTATATAATACGGAACAAAGAAAAATACACGAGTTAGTCACTTATTATTCAGGTATGAGTAACTACTGCCTGCGTCAGTGCGCTGTGTTGTTAAGTGGAAAACGATTATTTTGCAGGTGAGTTGTATGCGGCCAGGTAAAGATATATCCACTCCTTTCCATGAATTCTGTGACTGTCGATCGGATATAACAACTGAAACTGATGATGGTTGTAGACTTTGGGTGATTCGAGTTGATCACAGATGTTAAGATGCATTCGAGGAATTTATTCATTATATCATGTTTGTGTACTATCTCTAGTTCACCTTACTTTTTTTCCTCATGGTTTTGTTTTGTAGCTCGCTTACATTACATCCATTTAGTTTCTTGTTTCAATTTCACCTTTTATCTTGATGTGGTGATGTGAGGTGTAAAATCTATAAGACGATGTTCTATACTCAGTGTGTGTGTTGTCTTTCAGACTGCATCAACACGAAGGTGCTGATTGCTGACAAAATCTCAGCTCGGATATAGAAGGCTCGTTTGGAATTTGTTAACTTGCATCATCTTTGGTGCCGACTGGCGAGATATCCGACCACTTTTCAATGGACGAGTAAACTACGCTGCAGTCCGTTCCGTCCTATTATGTGGCTATGAGACATGGCCTTTAAAAGTAAATGTGAAGAGACTATAGATATTGACTATAGGTTTCTTCGTATACATTGAAATTACCACTTGAGAAACTAAAGTTAGGTGTGGGGTTCTAGGCAAAGAAGAGAAAATCGTTCATAAGGTTGTGAATCTTCAGCGATTGAAATGGCTTGCGCATGTGTTGCGCATCTTGAGCTACCGCTTACATCAACGTGTAATGCTTGGATAAGTTGGATTAAGTTAGACGATGTTTCAGTGTCCAGACCAAGATGTGGCACCAGTCGATGAAGTCCCTGACTGTTGGTCTGAGCCGTGTGGGGAGGTGTAGACTGCCTGGCTAGGGTCCCTGAGACGAAAGGAATCAGCAGTTAAGGACTGTTGGTGACATGGTTGAAAATCGATCACAGCTGCGCAGATGTATTCACTCTTTGATATCTTCTAAAACTTGAATGTTTTGACGTGAACCGAAGCACTTGTGTTCGAGTTCCTACGTTGATTTTGTCTGTCTGAGTGACTGGTACAGATTTTTGTCCAAAGTAATAAGTTGGTGTAAATCAGTTGTACATGCCAGGTAAGCGTAGTTAGTTTGAGCTTGTCACATATTGGTTGATCGTTGAACACCTTAACCAATAAATCATAGCAAACTTACATTCAACGTACTGAAGATATTTCTTCCCATCTAGCAATCTGATTTGGTTGCTTCTGTCTTTTAGCTTCCTTCCCCGTTTTTTCACTTTGTAGGCTTTTAAGTGCTGTACCGAAGGCATGTTGTTTTTATTGTTCCTTCTAATTGTCTACTCGAATTTCTGTTTTTATGATTTTACTGCAATATTGAAAAGATTGTCGATGTAGTTTTCACCAAAGGAAGATACAACAGAGACTGAATAACACAATCTTTTTTAGTTCACTGTCGTTACTTGCTTCTTCGTAGATTCAGGAACAAACTCCGTCACATGTGTTCTTAGTAGAGAAGTATTTCAACTTTATATGCGAAAATCTTCCTTAGCTTTGGTGTATTAATATATTTCAGTTGGTCAGTGCCAATACGGGACTTACCATTACTGCACAACGGGTCCAGTTACCATACTGCACGTCACCACATCAAGGTACAGGGCTACAAGACAAGAGAAAAGAAGTAGAAAATAGTATAACTGGAAGTAGTAGAAAGCCATGTAACAGAAGGAGTAAATGATAAAGCAAATGATGAAACTTGATGTAACGATTGAGGTGAGTATGAAGTATAGGTGAACCGTTGCAATCATTTCTGGACCATACTAACAAGAGTCTCCAACTATGGTTTCTTAAGTCGTCATTTCTCTACGCAGATCAATTCAATAGTCGATCAGAGACTTCATGGACTGATGCCCTCTTCTTCTTAGTCTAATCACCCTTTGATTTTCTTCCAACTTCTCCCTGATCCTCCAAAATGCTTTGTCTTATAATTTTGTCAATTTCTGCTTCATGTGTAATTGACATGCTGTTTGAAAGCGTAATGATTTCGCTAAATTCATTAGTTTGCTTAACACTAAGTTTTTAGATATCCTATCAACGCCACCAGTGACTTCAGCTTGATTATTGATTCTCAATCTAACTGCGACTTATGTCAAACACCAGTGCGGGTTTGTTTCACAGTGCACTTTTTCAATCAAACGAGTTGTTCAATGAACTTTGTTGCTTTACCTGTTCTCTTTTCCTTCTTTGAGCTAAAGTGAATTCCTTCCATTTGATTATTAGTTTACTTTTCTTCTATGCTTGATAATTAGGGAAAGTAATTTCTTTGATAAGCTAGGCAGAATGTGTTTAAGAGAACTACAGTTTCTCTGTGCTTAACTCTATTCAGTTATATTGGTAAGAGAGGTATACTTCTCTTTATGTTGAAACACCCTAGCCCACTTCAAATGCGTTTATCCATACTGATTATGATTGCTTGACAGATGGTCACAGTAATATTTTACCTGTAAAAAGATTACAGCGTAGCACATGCTCACTCAATTACCTCATTTTCGTCAGCAAAATAACACAATCCGATAAAATCAACAGGAGTAGAAGATTATTAAAACAGTATGGAAGGGTATATGAGGGAAGAATACTAGGGAAGGAGTACAGGGAAGATTACGTAGGAAGGGTTATTAGTTTTCAAGATGACAGTTGAATAATTTCGATCCTCATCTCCAAAATTATTCAACTATTTATTTCTGTGGTCATGAGGTTCATAATGAGACAACCCCACTCTATTCTTTATCACTCCTATCATCATTTACTGACTATATGAATAAATTATGTATCTTGACCTCAGTAACTCTAGGCTATTTTATACACTATCATAGTGGTTTTGTGATGGACTACTGTTTTACTAAAGGAGAACTTTAGCATCAAAACGGATTGGAAAATAAAGCCATGTTTAAAATTTTCAACAATTAATCATACTGTAGTTGTGATGTATCAACCATTTTTACTAATTGCGATATACTCTGTGCGTTATTCTGAGGTGGTATATCGTTAGTTCATACCCTTTTACTCCTCACATAGAATCATCTTTTTCTCTTTCCCTGATGATAGTTTCCATGCTTGCATGCATAATGAAAATATGGCAAGTTATGGTGAATTGTCTAGAGTTTCTCGTTCTGTCATGTTTTTTCTGGAAGAAAGAATTGGTTTATCGAAGGCAATAAACAGAGTTATACATTGTGGCTTAATCATAAATAATGCAGCTCAACTCTGTAGAAGTTTTTTAAATGCATTTAGCTATGGTTCACACTTATTATTTGACGGTCGATGATATTGTCCGGCTGCTCATGCTGAAATAGATGGAATGATGTTTTCAACCCAGAACTGATCGGTTGAAAGTCGAGTTCCTGGGTCAATGAACTACATCTCTATTATCTTGTGTTAGACACAATATATCACTTCATTTTGCATCCTGCTGTAATTTCATCCTTTCACATTCCGTATTATTCAGTAGACTGGTGAATGCTGTCCTCAAACGATTCAAACACATCTGCCCAGTGTTTGCATCAATACGATATAGCTAGCTATTATACGATAGTTAACTTCATTTACTTATACTAATCGGTAGTATGGTTCATGCTTCTGAAATGGTTTGGTTATGAAATGTAACTGTTTGGTCAACAACTTGAACTGCTACTAACTGAAGTTTCTAAGCAGAGTTCACCTTCTGGTGGATATGTTATGCACCAAAGTGCATATTTTTTCAGTATTAACTCATGTTTTTCTTTTATGGTTTCTTTTCTCTGCATAATGCTCACATTCACTATCAACGTACTAGATACAAGGTAATGATGTCTCTACAAAAGGTTCAGATTACATCAACATGTATCTTCAGTATCTGTCAAATCAGTCAGACATACGCGAACTTCGACTGGTCGTGTGCCACTATAACGATGATAGTGGTGGTGGTGGTGATGAGAGTAAGCAGAAGGCTCTGCTGCAGCTGGCCAGTCAGAACAATTATGGTTTAGATGCTTCCGACAAAATTGAAGTAAGAGATTATATTTAATTAACTTTCATTTTAATCTTGTGTAATAGATAGATGTGTCACACAGTGAAACAGTATTATCTAATCGATAAACCTTTAGTCATTATTTATTGTCTGTTTCTATATCAGGTAACTCCACAACTTTGGGATATTGTTTATATGGTTGTAGTTCTCTTTCCTCCTTTGCTACAAATCAACCTGGCAAAAGTGTTTATTTACTAGGCTGTTTATCACACGCATTGTGTGTTGGTTTATAATATTACTGAGTTGCTCATGTAGAAGTAGGTACAGCGAGGTTTAAATATGATAATTATTGGTTGGAAGTCGAAGGCTTCAGCGAACGGACCACATCCCCTTCGATAGTCTCTGGTAATTGTAGAAATGATCATTAAAATTGAAAGATGAATTTGGTAGTTGTCCGATTCTTGAATCAACGGTCTTGCGTATTCCTGACCTGTCATAGTTTATGTAACCAGCCTAAAATACAATACTCACCTGCACAGATGTGTGTGCAAGATAATGGAAGGTTTACTTACTGGAAATTTTCAGTGATGGAAACAGACTTATTGGTAAACCATACTGGTTTCCATTAGACTTGAATGAATAACTGTTATGGTGAGATTACATACATTCCTACTTCTCTCTTCACAGGGCTGTAGGATATAACTTGAAGTGTCTATCAGTTCTGCATAGGTTATCAGCCTTCTTCACTCAAACTGGAACATCTGCTTATAATGAAGAGTAACGATAATATTTCAACAATAGCATGTACTGGCATTGTTTCCTGAAAGTTATCTCCCAAATTATTTGTATCTACGTGTAAACACGTTTGGAAACTTAGAGTTCTGCAGCCAATGCTAACGATTTGAATATACGGAACACTGTTCTTCGTTTCATGAAACGACATTTCAAGTTACATGTTGAAACTTTTAATGTTCGCACCCTTCGTCGAATCCTACAACAGACTCGGCTAGCCAAAACTAACATCTCGGGTCTGTATTTGTAAGATTCACATACAAGACCAGAGTGTCGTTATTCAATGGACCTCACTTAGTCACTGTGACGAATCTCTAGAAATTAACCCTGAGATTTGTAGAGGATTCCTTGGTTAGTTCTGGTTAGGTTTGTGCATGGTGTAAAGTACTAGGACAGTAAATGCTTTACTCAAATAGATTTCAGTCTCATTCACTGTATGACTGGATGTCTAACTAGCAACAAAACGGGTTGGTGACACACAAACCGTTGTATTTTTCCAATCTGTTTGATGTACCCACTGACTTACAGTGAAGTGAAAGTCAATATTCAGTGAAAATTGAGTATCCGTTTACTAAAAGTTAGATGATGAGATATGGTTGTCATAGCGAGTGACTTCGGTGTACGAGTAGGAAACAATCAATATACTGATTAATATAAGGAAACTTTAACTGGGAGGTTGTTTTGAGCTCAGCTTGAAGATGGTTATGTTTAGGTCTCTTTTAAAAAGGAAACTGGCTAAAAGATTAGACGGATATGACAGTTTGATTCATGAAGAATTCTGATGCCATCCCGATTTTGCTAATGGAAACAAAGGTGAAGATTGAAAACAATTCTTAGATAAAGACAGAAAGGGTCAGGGGGTTTCAACAACATCAAAACTAACGGATCGATACGACCCAAGTATTACGTGAGGAAACGTTTACGCAGTGATTTTGAGCAGCGATAGACAGGTAAAGTTAATGAGATGGGAATAGTAGCGGCTATATATATATATATATATATATATATATATATATATATATATATATATATATATATATATTCTCAATTCTTACATAGTTGGTCGCAAAAGTCACACCTTGTCATTACGATGTAAGGAAATCTTCTTTGAAGTTATTTGCCTACAATCACTGGATCGCTGTTTATTCCCGCTTTTCTTTTTGTTTTTTTGGTGTTACTTACCGTACACTCTCATATCCCGTCTACATACTGTTGCTTAGGCTTTAATAGCAGAATAAATGCTTTTCCTTTTGTTTAACGCAGTCACCAAACAGTTTGAATATGGCTCCAGCTGTACATAATCAGATGCAACAAAAGAGTGGTGGTATCCAATCAGGCATCTCTCCAGGTTCTAGTGATATGGAAAACCCTGAACCTCTGGTAAGTTGTTGTATTCTTTCTCTACTCTGCTAATGTTTTATAGTTTAATACTTTTCGTCATGTCTGTCCACTAATTCGTAATGTCCATTGAGTTGGACAACAATGAAAGACTTTTGTTTATGGCTTGCTAACTGCAGATGAGTAGTTTTTATCGATTCCAGTACCTCCTCTCTTCATAATGACATATGTTTTGGTATTACTTGGTTAGCTTTAAAGCCTTCTAACGAGGTGTATCATTAGTATCCACCTCGTACGTTAATTTCAGTCGGTATTGCATCGGTCATCTGTAGCACAAAATGTATTCTTGCCTGTCGACCCAGCGATTAACAAACACCTAGTTTATTCTAGTCACCCGGTAATATTGTGTTTGAATCATTGTGTTAAGCTGAAAGGTTTGTCTTATCACACACCACTCTTGTTTATAACGTTTTAATGCGCATAAAACGTCATATAGGGTTGATCATTTGTCAAGGGCTCCCTATATAAATAACTGGATAGATGCTTACTGCCATAATTGCATTTATTTCGTGTCCAAAGGAAACATCTATCTTCTTCCCGTGTACTTATTTATGTTCAGGATTATGAAATACCTGAGCTTATAGCTATTTTTGGAAAAAAAAATTTGTTTTTCATAGTAATAATACAGAAATTTCCTTTACCCAAATTGGTTAATGCATTCACTTTTTTTCTTGATCTCCGCTATGACCTTAACATGTTTATGACGTAACTATAATCATAACCTCGTTAACTAACGTTTATTTGTTACTGCTTTTCTTGTCTAACCTTAACCTATTTGTTGAGAAAAGCGTATACGTGCTCATATTACTATGAACTATTTGCATTCGGAGGTGACTTTCCAGGCGTCGGCATATAGAGAAGTAGTAGTAAGTTGAGTGTCTGAGTTAGGTACAGTTCCACTATACTTTAAGTTTCAAACTGCCGTCTCGCTTTTTATTTGTCCTCTGCTGTGATTCATTCATACATTTTTTACTCTTCAAACTGTATATGAAAATTTTATGCTGTACTACATCTGGATTATTATTATCATTATTATTATTGACAATGGTATTGTAGTGCCATTCTTTTTCGTCTGCAGACTGACATGGAATCACGTGAAGAAGTGCATATTCTGTCTAGAGAAGTACCATCACCAGATCCCAATAATTCATCTGATTCACAGCAAAAGGATTCCTGCAGAATCAACCAGTCAAGAAGAAACAGTAGTCAGTGTTTATTATCTAAAGTATCATCACCAATCGTCAAAGATGATGATGATGAAACTGGTGGTTTGAGGAATGCAATGTCTTCGGATTTAACAAAATTACAAAATGGTCAGTTAAGTAGACATTCACCTCCTACAGTACCACCTCGACGACTTTCTGTACCATCTAGAAAACAATCTGTCGGCAATTCAACTAAGGCAGTAATTAGCATTTCAGGTGTTAATCAAAGTGAGTGATTTTGCATAGTTTCTCCTCCAAATACAGCTGTCGTTTGAATATACATTATAAATATTCTTTGGTAGGACTATGGACTGGATGCTTCTTGTCCGTTAACTGATTTCAAACAGACTGCCCAACATTCAGCCTCAACGTGGATGGGACCTAGATGTCGGTCCTTCAGCTTTCCTTGGAATCGGAAAAGCTTTATCGCACATAAAACGATGCGAAGCAGTAGGACCTGACAGTTTGACTCATGCAGCCTTCAAGAATGAAGATAGGAAGTTGCTGATTGAGGTGACGGAGGTACTAGGTAGTGTATGTGAATTAGAATTTTCGCCATTAGACTGATGTTCTTCTCTGATCATTACAGTTTTTGAGAAGGGAGGGAAATCTTCTTGTGACAACCATTAGGGAATTAGTTTAAGTAATATTTTATCCGAGACCCTGTAGTCCATAGTTGTCTAACGCCTACCTGGAGCTCGAGAACAGCGAACTCGAGAAACCCAGTCAGGTTTGAGACAGCTGGACGAGGGTGCATCGATCTTATTTCCATCCTTTGACAGATTCTTTGAACACGGGCACACCTACCGACCAATGGCCGACACTTGCCAAATTTCTTGACCGGAAGGTGGCATTTGACTCTCTCGATTGTGAGGTATTGTGACTATCTGAGTATGAAGGGAGTACTGATCAAGTATATAACGCTAATCATAGCTATTTACTCGAACTCACAACCATATCAGGTCTTATGGAGAGTTGTCACATGAATTAATGCCTAGTTGTGTCTGCCAGGAATGCCCTCTATCACCGTTCCCTTTCGACAGCGTAATGGATATACTAATGGACGCGTTTTGCGTTTTCTGACTTGTGTAATCTGTGGCGCTAACTGGCTAGATATCCGAGTATCTGTCAGGGAACGAGTATACTACACCGCAATTCTTTTTTTTCCGTTGTGTCTGTGGGACATGTCCAATGAAAGTAGGAAAAATGAAACGGTTGCAGGGTTTTGACCATAGTTGTTGTCGTAGGATTGCTCACGTTTTGTGGAATCGCCTTGTAACCACTGTTGAGGTCTGGTGAAAGTTATAGGCTAGTCGATTGATGGGGTTATGAAACTTCATCGACTAAAGTTGTTTTTACATGTAGTGGTTATTTGCCCTTTATTCCTTCGAATTTCTATAAATAATGATAATAATATATTGACATATTCCGAACCACAATTATGTTTACAATACAGAATTTTCAGCACATGATATTGCATTAGTTTACCCGTTGTGCAACTCTTTTCAAATATATGTTAACAATGGTGCTGCTTAGCAATCCATAATAATATGATTGTTGAAATGTTTAATGACTTCAAGGACATGATAACTGTTGGCTATCACAAAGTTGATTGATAACACTATGTCTAACATGATTTTCTCCATACAATACACAGGCTAAATAAGGTATGGTTAAATTTTTGTATGTAGTTGTGCGTGCATAGAGTTGAAGATATTTTCTCATTGCCTTCCCAGACGACCGACATGAAGAGAGGTGGAGATGCAGAGGATGCCTGTCACCGGATAAAATATTTGTATCCAGTTGTCTACAAGAGTTCACTTGTCTGTCCACGACATCATTTATCAACATGGTTAGTGCTATACCTCTCGCTCTACTAACACTTTAAAATCCTACGCAATACGGCATAGTCCGTTTTCAGGAGTCCAGGAAAAATAAAGGGTGGATAATAAGCAATTATAGGCAAAACACAGGAATTAGTGAAACGTAAGAGTAGAGGCTGAGTTATACCAAACAATGTGAGTTTTTTATGTAAAAGTCAAGCGAAGGATTTTCCTGGAAATCATTAAGGCATGAGGGGACCAAGAAAGATCAGAAAAACGCATAAGCCGAGATGGATCACGCTTTCCACATTTTCCATATCAGAGACATCTACAGGACAAGAGTCATGGACTGAAGCAATGTGCAAAGGTCTTTTTCATGTCCTAGGCCAAAATTAACTATCTATCATTTGGAGGGATTGAGTGTTCGGCCATTTAAGGAAGACTAGTAATATATTTCGTTTAAGAAGTTATTAAACTGAGAACAATCAGAAGAGATGCTCGGTATAGGTACTCTCAGGTCATTAGCGTACTTAACAAAGTTAGCTTAAGTTGAGGTTGGTAAGTCATGCAAAAAGAAATAGAAAAAGAAAGGAAAAAGAACACTTTGAGGCACAGTGAGTTCATTAAATAGCGAATTAGAGCTCTTCCCTCTGTATAGAGTGTACTGTCTTCTCAGAAAAATAAGAATCAAGCAATCCAGCACTCAATTTAAGTACTAGGAAGCTTATTTAATAAGAGGGGTCTAGCTATAGAGTCAAAGGCAGACATATAATCTGATAAGGTAGATCTAACATATTAGCACCTCTATCAAGAATGGCAATGCTATTATGATGTAAAACAACTGTAGCATCTAAAATACTCCTTCTATGTTTGTATGCAAGTTGAAAGCCAGAAAGCCTTTAAAGGACGTTCAAGCAAACGTTTTCCATTATTTTACGAATGGTGAGGTTATTGCGATCGTTCAGGATTTCACATTTCCTCTAGAAGATATAGACTTAGGCACCCTAGCTATTTTTAATTTCTTTCCAGGCACATCAATTTTGTCAAATGACTCATTAAGAATACTCATGACACAGAATATCAGCACACTTACCAAATAGAATTTTTTAAATGTCATCCGGTTCGAGGCTTTAAGAAAGTTTTAATGACTTTAGGCATTTGAATAAATATATTTCATTGAATTTATGAAAACTCTTGGTTGTATTGTGTTCTCTGAGCTGGGTTGTTTAATCGTGAAGCTTTCATCGCCTTGCTAGACGACATCACCAGCACTAACTTCAGTATGAAGTGAGTTGTCAATATCTCTCTGTGAGTGATTTAGTAGCTTGCTCTGACGATGTGGTCTGTGATTGGTTGTTTCCTTCGATTGTTGTGTCATTGAAGGAAACAACCAATCACAGACTACATCGTCAGAGCAAGCTACTAAATCACTCACAGAGAGATATTGACAACTCACTTCATACTGAAGTTAGTGCTGGTGATGTCGTCTAGCAAGGCGATGAAAGCTTCGTGATTAAACAACCCAGCTCAGAGAACACAATACAACCAAGACCATCCACCTGAGCTACAAATATTCTCCATCATTATGAAAACTCTGTTGGCTTAACAAGTAAATGTGTTATCAGATTGTTCGAAATGTGTTGCGCAAACGCCATTCAGACAAACTTTGTCTTCTTAATTACACTATTCAAATTTATAAAGTTGACTAATTATTTCCGATAAACTGACTGTTTATCTAAATGTTTACCCCATCATATGAGTTCAATGTTTATTGATTCATTGTTTACTCAGTGAAACAAGGCTATACACTACACTTGATATATGCATGAGTGTATGATGGTATCTGGTTGCTGAACATGAAGTAGACATAGCTTAGTTTTCATTTGGAACACATTATTTAGTAGATGAGTATCTAAACCAATAAAGCACATTGTCTACTTTTCTCATTCACAATGAGCATCATAACAAATCACTAATATGAATATACTACTGAACAAAATGAGTAGTTAAGAAGTACTCACGTTGATCTATAGATTTCACTGGCTAGATCTCTTATATTCTTCATTGTAGTTTATCTTTGTTCTTTCACTCATCTTCCTATATGGTTAGAAGACTATTATGAAATTCCGTTTCTTTAAGCTATGTAAGAGTAATTTATATGATAGTTAGGAAGTTCTTGGTTGATGTTTAGGAGTGAGCGATTACCCGAAGACACGCTGCATCATCAATGTTCGCAATCTATAACACTAACGACATAGTTTTGTTCGTTAGTGAACTATGAAGTTATTAGTTATCTATGTGGATCAATTTATTAATGAATCATATGCTAATTGTCTTCATCCATTCAAATCAAATGATCAGATTCTGTTGATGTGAACAACATTGGTGAACACAATGATTTTTATCAAGTTAATTGCTTTCAGAACTTATGCTGCAACCTTATAATGAAGATTACTTTTTGTAGAGATCACTAGCGTTCATCTTCTAGTTGTGTTTTCCTTCAACTACTTCCGCTTCATCGTCTTGCTTTCTGTATTGCTGACCGATCTACATTGTTTCTTTCTCCAGAACATTCGCCAAACCACCGTCCGTTATCTAAAACCGCTGCACTAATTAAAGCATAAACATTTCTGTCTGTAGGATTCAGCCTTAATTAGGAAGTGACATGGAGGTTTACTTAGGACGTTAACCTCAGTTGAAGATAATGACTGAGGGTATCTACGTTAAATAATACACCTGTTACAGTGATGGGTACTTATTACAAATCGTTGTAAACTTGTGCACATATATGAATTTTCGAGGAAAAACTTTCAGTTGTAACATTAAGATAGTTTTACTTCAATTTTCGGCTTAGTTGCTAGTTGCAGGTTGGATCTCGTCTAGATGGATGTCATTATCCAAAGACCTAGTGGATCGGTCCCATCGCCGAGCAGGAAACATAATAGCAGCGCATCTATGTGAAAACGAACATTCCTGCCAAAGCACTCTGTTGACGCTCACTCAAAACTGACCAGTGTAATCCCAAAACTCTCCAAAATTTCAGGCTTCAACGCATCCAAATTCGCCGGATAATAGGTTCGTTGACCGTACTCTCCCCGTGGACAGATGTGTGTAGGACTCATTTCACTAAGTTTGCACAATCTTGCAGAATCAAGTGCAGCTCACCAATTCGAAGAGACATTCACCGAAGATTCCTGTTCTGTGAAGCAATAATATCGATTGATTCGTGGCGATGGCTCCTTCCGGGTTACTGATAAGGAGTCAAGGTTAGGGCAAATGATGCCCAGCATTCCAAAACGATTATCACCCATTTTCTCAAGGTAAACCACACCGTGGCTCCAACGTCTGCTTCGACAGCAGTGACTACCGGAATTAGGAATCTCGACTTCTTTACCTTTCGGTTCCACTATTCGCAGTGCATTGGGTGCAATGCTGACGGTTAGTCAGGCCCTCCATACTTCGGAGACCTGTGCTACTGATCGGTGTATACGGACCTCGTCGGTTGCCTTTACCGCTAAGTCTTTCTAACTGCAGGATCATGTGGAGCGTCACTGTCGTCGCGTAACTAAGCTCGACCCGTAACCACTAGTGCACACACCGTCTCCGTTTTTTCAGGTCAGTAGCACAAACCTAGTACCACCTAACGGTGCCCTGTTAATCTTAACGTTGACACCCTGGTACGTAACTATGGTGGTGGAACTTGGCTACCTTAAAATAGCTAAATGACCGCTTTATGATAGAATCACTTTTAATTTGACTGTATATAAGTAGAAGGCACAGCTTTGACCTTCAGGTCTGTTTAATAGGGTCTCAAGACGGAGGTTCGATAGCTGTCTTCCATTCTGTATTTAATTAAATGCTGAACAAATAGACGGTGATTATGAATGAGTGCTACTTTGATTTTTGTTGTTTATTCCTTGTTTCATTCATCGGTTTTTGATTCATGTATTTCCATGCAGCTCAGAATCGATCCTAGTGGCGCAAATGTATCGACACTTCATTGTAATCTTAACTGCCATACTGAATTCAGCATTTCCTCATTCCTGCTTCCTTTCCGTTACTACCTTCTACTGCTCTTGACCGATTCTCCTCCCTTTCTTCATCTTTGTTACTTGATTTGCTGATATTAGGTGCGGCAACTTGAACCGTTACGCAGCAGTGGCTGGTCTTATGTTGATATTGATGGTGGTGATCTTATTACCGTCGCTACTCTTCACTTCTCTGAAGTCAGTGTCTTCTGTTGTGATCATAGTTGATCACCAATGTATTCTGGGAGTATATTTTTTTTTTCTACGATCATAATTTGTGTATTCTATTTCACACTCTTGGTCCGTTTACGTTTTATCTAGACATCCCCTGATAAACGACGTTTTTCATCGATTGGATTCCGTAGGTATCTGGATATATTGTTTGTTTTTGTTTGTTTAATGCCATTTTTGTTTGTTTTGTTGTTGTTATTGTTTACATTCCATTCTGTCTTTGTTTTTCATTCCAGTGCGTTTCGACAATCTAGCCAACTTGTATTCACGTAATAATCAAGATGAAATACTCATTGTTCGCATACCACTGCCATCATCATCACCATCATTATCACCTATGCCTAATGGTGATATTGATTGTGATCAAGGTGATCAAAGCAGAGTTATCAATCTTGGCATTCGTCTTGTCGGTAGTCGGAATCCTGAAAATGTTGCCACTTTTATTGCAGGTTTTCAAAAGGATTCAATTGCAATGCATCATAATGTTGGTTTGCAGATTGGTGATGAAATTGTACAGGTTAGTGTTGATAATAAGCTGGAGATTAAAACAGGCGAAAATCTTCCTTCATGAGATTGTGAATATTTTTGATAAATGTTATTTCATTCATTGATTTATTCACCTTTCTGGTTTATGTACAGCTCAAACTGATTGCTGTAGACACCTGACTTTCAACCAATCGGTCACGTGCCTGAATCTTATCCCTTCACTTTCTCAGCTTGGAATATCTAATAACCTTGTTAAAGTGCATTGTAGGAATTGCTCTAAAGGGTCATCCTAACAACAACCGAAATAACCAATCGCATTCTTTAGTTTGTGAAAAAAATGTTACCTTCGAGGTGAAATTAACGAGTGACTTTAAAACAACCCTAGTAACTGTTTAGATGACTAATTACAGTCCTCTATCGTATGAAAAACCACCCTACTCAATCGAAATTCTGAAAATTTATTGGTCAATTTAGTAGTTGCTAGGGTGGCCTTTCAAGTCACCCAAATTAACTAACCTGATTGGTTATTTCAATGGTTGCTAGGGTGGCCCTTAAGAGTCACTGTGTATTCATCTGTGTATGTGTTTGTAGATCATAGTTAAAATTTGGGTCAGTGAATGCTGATTTTGACTGCCGATTCAGTTTATTGAATGAATTAATATGTGAGTAAAGTGGATTGAATCCTTGGTGGATATTAATTTGAAGAGATTGAAACGATAATTTAGCATAGGTATTTGCAGTTGAATGTTGACATTTCAAGTTTAATATCGCTGGGTTCATATTAATTTCCAGAGATGAGGATTATAGTTGAAGTTGACAAAATCTCGAATTAGGCACCTTTGAAATGCTAGCCCAGTTCTCCATATTTATACATTTGCTTGGGAGGTTGAAACATTGGAATTATTATAGCACTGGTAATTTACTTATTCTAATATACTCAACCGAGAATACGCTTTCCTAGTCACCGTCTAACACATCGTGCAATGTTAACTAAAGTATATCAGGAGGTCATAGGCGGTTTGACTAAAGCCTAGCATCAGTTCAAGAAGTCTCTGACTGTTGGTCTGAATTGTGTACAGCAATGTAGGCTTACCGACTTAAGTCCACGTGGCAGCCAAAATTGCTTCTTTGAGACTGTTGTCAAAATGTTTCTCAGAGACACAAATGGATTCACAGACATTACGTTTTTCTGGATCGTCTTCATTGTTTGTACTCCTTTTGTCACTTCTTCTGCAACTTTCTACTTCGATGGGTGTTCGCTAGTTGGAGGCAATCGGCAAGATGCCCTGGACCTAAGGTTTTTTGCCTGTTGCTGCTTGTCAGCATAGCGTATCTGCAATCTCGACGGAACTGATATCCTCTGTGAGGTTCGAACCCGCGTCACCCAGTGTTGCAGTCAACGACGTTATCGCTGAGCCATTCGGGCCTTGACTAACCTGATATGCCCCTCTAACGAGTGCCAACAAGCACAAAACCTAGGTCCTGGGTGTCCTGCCTATCGCATCCAACAAATTAACGTACATCAAAATGTACTGCATTGTTTTCTATTGACTTCGATCAGTGCTCAGGACTAGACAGAATGAGATTGGTTGCTCTCCAGTGAACAATCAATGTACTTTCTACTTCTTTTGACCTCTTTCTTCATTTCTCTACCTTCCACCTTTACGTGTTATGCATTATGCGGTGTGGCAACTTAGATCATTAAGAGGCGGTACTGCCACGTTCTAAGTTGATATTGACTGATGCGTATGAAATACATGTAACGCACTGAATAACCATGTTTACTTAAACTGAATTTGATATTCATGGTTCAAATAGACATATTAGATAAATAAAACGTGTGATAGGTATTATTCCTAGACATGGGCGTTCTTTTTGAATCTCATGGAAAAGATATAACTTTGCTGTCGATGAGACTGTTTTTCCACTTACATTTATGTAATATGTGAGAAATGCGAAACGTCGTTGACCTTCTTTTCTCTTTCCAGCTCCTTTGTGAGTTAGCCAACTATCTTATGCGGCTCTCAATCTATGCCCTGAGTAGGAATTTGTCACAACGTTCTTGCATATTATTATTACTCCTGTTATTATTATTATTACTATCATGACTATTATTATTAGCGGTAGTAATACTAGTTTGTTGCTTCATCTATCTGTCTTTATTTATTCATCACTTAGGTGGAAGGTGTCAGTGTTTGTGGAATGAATCATTTAACCGTTCACCAAACTATCCAATCAAAGATTAAAGAAATTCTAATGTCTAAAATTGATACTGATCAAGATGACACTATTGATAATCATATTAGTGTAAAACAGATAAGTGATTCAACTCTTCCAATAAAAAAATCCTTTATCACTTTGATTATTCGACGTAATCCAATAAATTTATCGTTGATGACATCAAGTCCAACTGGCTTATCTACATTATATGAACATACTGGATCACCGATAAAGGTGGTTAGTAAACCACCATCAGATGTCTATTCTCCATTGGATGAGAATACTTTCAATACTGTAAGCAAATTATATTGAGAAATATTTCTTTTCAACCTTATTTCATCTCATATCTTCTATTAGTTTCGGGTATACTATAACCTATTTTGGCTTATAACTCTGTTTTGTTGATTAGTATCGAAATATGATCGTTTTTACCATCAACTCGTGTATGGTTAAAGTTCGAGTCGTAATATGTTGATTGCCAATAAAAATATCTGATTGATTTTTAGTGAATTTACTCTAAATGACGTCTACAACCTTAATGCTGGCTGTAATAATTAGCTCATGGAAGTGACGTGTTGATTTGTGGGAATAAGTTTTTTTGCATAATGACCTGGACTGCTTAGAATTTTGGACTACTAAGTATTTTTCATCAAATATATTTCATCAAACTGTTTCTCTTTTTTTAACTTGTTTTAATCATTCGAATGTCAAAAAATCGTAAGTTGTACTTTGCATATTTTCAAATTGTCTTCAACCTATCATGAAACAGGTTAACAACAAAAATTCGAAAAGATATCACGGTAGATAGCAGTAGACCCTTGAACGCACAAAAGTTCATCACATATCTGTTATAGGTATAGTTAGGTGGATCTGTAAATTTTTATACTGGTTGAATGATCCTTCACCACCAAACTTACGGGCGGTTTCCCATTCTCCCTCCCATCTTGCTACAACGTATTCACAAACTAAATCCTAACCTGAAAACACTAGTCATTGTGTATTACTGCTTATCACACTGTTTTTATTAACATTATTTAACCTCCATGGTTATTCACGGAGGTAGGAAATTTCTAATTAGAGTGAACTTGGTACTAGGTAGTGTATGGGAGTTAGAGGTAATGGCGTCAGACTAGTGTACTTCACTGATCATATCAGTTTATGAGAAGTAGAGAAATCTTCTTGTGACAACCGTAGAGGAATTAGTTTGACCAATATTGTGTCTGAGATCCAAGGGTCCATAGTTATCCGATGCCTAACTGGAGCTGGAGAACAGTAAACTCGAGAAAACCAGTCAGGTTTGAAACAGGGTTGGACGAGAGTGCATTGATCATATTTTTTACCTCCTGACAGGTTCTGAAGCACAGACATATTTATCGGCCAATGGCTGACACTTGCCGTATATGTTGAATTGAAGGTTGCATTTGACTCAGTGGAGTGTAAGTCGTAGCAGTGTCTGATTATGAAGGGAGAACTGACCTAGTATATAGTGCTAATCAAAGATCTCTACTCGAACTCACACTGTCTCAGGTCTCATGGAGAGTTGTCATCAATTCTGATGACGACTAGATGTGTCCGTGAGGAACGCTCACTGTCACCGTCTCTAACTTCGTTATAGGGTACCAGGCAATTGATGAGGTTATGAAACTTCATCGACTGAGATGGCTTGCAAATATAATGCGCATGCCAAGTCACCGTCTAACTTGATGTGCCATCCTGGTGTGGGGAGTTTGATCATGTCTGAAGAGGGTTGAGGGTGATCAGATCAAGACGTTGGACCAGTGTATAAATTCACAGACGTGTAGTTTGAGCCGTGTTGGGAGATGATGACTACCTATTGGTGGTCGCTGAGACGATAGGACTCGGTGGTTGTGGACTGTTGGTGAGATGGCTGAAAATCTTTCAGAATTGTGCAGATGTATTCACTCTGTGATATCTTCTAAAGGTTGAATATTCACACTAACTTTTATCTCCAAATTATTTATTCTCTCACACAACCTTGTTTACTTCGATATCAGTCTTTTTCTGTCCATCTTTTTTTTGTATACTACTGTGAAACGCGGTGATTTGAACCGATGCACTTGTGTATGCGGTTCGATATTGTTTCTGTCTGTCTGCCATGATAAATGAGTTTAAGAATGTATTAAAGTTGTTGAAATATCACATTAGGGTTCCGTAGTCTTTCAAAAATTGTTTTTATTATTATGTGCAACCGACTTAAGCTTATAACAGCTTCAGGCTGTCCAGATATAAACATGTTATTAGTTCTACAAACTACTGTACTCTTGAGCACATGGAAAATTACAGATTTTGCGATGGATGTCTTCAGGTTAATTGTTGACGGGAGGATGGGAAGGATATCAGCATACTACACTCAAAGTCCTTGACAGAAATGCTGTGCAACTGAGGATCACCAGTGTAGGAATTTGAGTTTCAATCAATGGGTTGCTGGTTCGAACGCTACTCCAAATACTAACGCTTGGGCATCAGTTATTATCACTACTCCTCACATAAGTAGTGTGCCTCATTGTCTACTGCATGAACATGCACGTGGTTACTCATTGAGTTTACTAGGTAGGCACATAAACTGGTATTAGTTGGTTGGAGGCAAACGGCGGGAATCTGTAGACATAGGTTTCGTGCTTGCAGGGGTTTGCCAGAAAGGCTACTCTGCAACACCGATGCAGCTCATGTTCTGCATCAAATCAATCAATGTATATGGTCTACTCCTACAGGCGGTTAGATGCAGCCGAATAGCTCAATGGTAACGTTGTTGACGGAGGCACTGAGCGAAGCAAGTTCGAAGTTGACAGGGGACATCTGTTCCCTCGAGGTTGGAGATATGCCTTGTTGGCCAGTGTCAACAAGCACGAAACCTAGGTTCAGGGTATCTTGCCGATTTCCTCCAACTAACTAACATTCATTTGCATCACGATGGTGAACCACCTAGCTTGTGTAGTGATCAATTGAAATCGAAGTTGGTTGCCATCCAGTGATTAATTAATGTACTGAAACTGGTGTATTTATCCTTGTCTTCAGTAAGTACAGTTCTTTGTCTTTATCATCAGTGTCTTTCTCTTTCCAATACCCTGTTTCTTTCTATTTTGTACTTTGTTTTCAATTCACAGAGTCCTACTTCTGAGGTGTTATCATCATCGTCTGATTTACTGCCGACTGGTTCAAAACCAATTCCACATTCATTTTTAAAACAAATAATGATTGAACTGAATGAAGATTTTCATAAATTTCAATTGTTCGACATTAATTTGGAGAGAGTAAGTGGAAAGGATTTTACTGTTTCCATGTATACATACACCTGCCTACCTATATCGTATTTTTGTTGTTGTTATTCTGTGATTATCTATTTACTTTTATACTCAATACAGCTCTATGGATTACGCTTTAGTAGTTTCATATTTCAACGGAGTGTGCTCTGAGGTTAGAATAAATATGGCGAAGAGATTCATGACAGACATAAAAGCATATACTCTCACACAAGAAGTGTATTGTCTCAAGTTGTCATACTTAGAAAAAACAAAACATAGTGAAGATAAAAGGTGAATGAATGCATGACCCATTGTGATCAGTTTGGATTTATTTCACTGTATCCGTAACCTGTGATTCTTTTCGTCGCAAGAACTTCAGTCAAAATCAACCTACACTTTCTTTACTTGATTCAAGTCGACCGTATGTTCCCCTCAAAAAGTATTTCTCTTTTCTTTCTGTACTATCCTTATATTATCCAGATTGTCCTTGTGAACATATTGTAGGTGTGTAAGTGTAGGTCTAGGAATGTATTTCAAAAAGGTTTTAGCGAAGAAGAAAGATAGCAAGTCATTTAAATAATGTCTTAAGGACAATTAATTAGTCACTGCTTTTTTCCCTCATATCAGAGATTATGAAGACAAATACATAGATAGAAAGAAAGGAAGAATTCGTTTATTAGCTATGATAACTATTGCGTAATGTAGCGTTGGCTTATTGCATTAAGCGACCAACTTTCAAGCATGCGATTCTGATGTTCAACTGGGTATCCTTATCCATCTGTATTTCCTCATTTCAGAATTGTAGTTCAGGAGTATCCTATGGATTTGATTCAATCCTAACTCAACCATTGTCTCTGGTGTTCAGTTTTATTCCAAGCGCTTGTCTCGAGAAAGGTTAGTAGTTAGTATCGTCAAACTACCTCAAAAATGACAGGTGCACATTTTACGGTTTGGCACATGGACACTTTCTTCAGCTACTTACTGGTCATGGTGGTCATCCTTACATTTGATAGTGACCTAACCTATCTCTATGATCTATACCATGGTCAGAAGGAATGTCTGTCGGAGAGAGATAGAACTGAAAGCTGTAAATTTACCAGTTGGACTACTGCAAAACAATTTCGAGTCCTAGGGCGAAATCATCCTACTGACTGGACCATAGTGTATTGCCAGTTGAAAGTTATCTGAGGACTTATGTGAAAAATTTGCATTTTTTAAAAGATCTAGATGATATCTTAATCATAGGTGATGACTTAGGTTATACCACTTCAGTTCTAAATCGAGTGAACAAAGTACGGGCTAGTATATCTTTCAAAAGTGTGGAAGAAAGCGATAGCTACTTGTCTTTCTTAGACGAACATTTACAACTAATGTGTTGGAAGAAGAGACAACTTCATTGACGTAGATGTTATTTGAAAACAACTATCCAATACAATTTATAATTTGTCTTGAAGTAGATTAGAGTATTGGGAAATACTCTTCACTCAATTCCGAAGAAAGATATATTCATCAAGCTACTATGTACTGCTGGTGAAAATAGTTTGGTAGGCGAACAGAGGCTTAACACTGCCATCAAGGAAACATATCATGCAACTGAGTTTCGGATAACTTAAAATTCGAAGCCTTTATGCTCATTGAATTCCTCGGGACAAATCAAAGATGACATCACATCCCATTGTATTTACCAAAAAGAAATCGAGTCACCCACCGGACCCAATTAGTACTGAGAAAAACCTTCCAAGGTCTTCAATCACGAAACACACGATTTAAAAATAGGGCATAAATAGATGTACGTAGTTTACTTAAGCGCACATGTATTCAACCTGTCAGGGATGTATTTCAGAGTTTTTCGAAACATTATCTGCTGGAAGGTTTAAGCCATTTTCATTTGTTCAAAAACAATTTTTCCTCCCATTAAACCTTCCTTGGTAAATTCCGTCTTGAATTCAAAGTTGATTTACTATAAGTTTTCTGTCTAATTGACTTTCATTTGTTATTTTGACTTTCAACATAGTCTTCTTATTTGACCCCTTACCTGGTTTATCCATATAAATTTCTCTAACAACTGCTTGTGTGATCGAGAGTGTTGGGAACATGTTGCACAAATACATTGAGCAATTCAGATAAATTCCGTTTTTTATTTTTGTCGGAATTCACTATTATTATTATTTTCCCTAAGTTCCTAGTGGGGCATAGGGCTCCAGGAGCATTCCTCCATTGTACTCTGTTCTCTGCAGTCTTTTGAACCTGACTCCACCACTGCCCACAAGCTTTCATTTTTTTCCTCACATGATCTCCTCCATATCACCCTCGCCTTGGATGCCAAACTCGTCGTTTCTCCTTTGGATTCCACTTGAGAACCTGGCCTGGCGCATGATGTCCCCAATAGACCTTCTCAGTGTATGCCCAATCCATCTCCACTTTCTTCCACTGCATATTTTTTGGGTGATAGGTTCTTGGTTGGTTCGTTACCAGGCTAGAGTCCCTTGTTGCTTATTCTTATCATTCTGACCATCTGATCTTCAGTATCGAGCCATCATAGGCAGCTATTGATGAATGTCTGTAGTTTGTTAGAAATGCTTTTCGTAACACGCCAAGTTTCTGAACCTTATAGCAGCACTGACTTGACCGGCATTGGTGTTGAAAATCTGGATCTTGTTCTTTGTGCTGAGAGAAGTGCAGTGCAGTAGATCTCCACGCTGATTTCAGCCTGTCTTGCTGTCTTTCCGATCCTGGTTTTGACATCCTCATCTGTTTCGCCGACGCCTGTAGTTGAAACGATGTTGTCTAGGTAGGTGTAGGTCAAATAGACTGCTTCCTTCAGATTTCCCTATTGATGGTGATTGTCACTTGTTGTTGATGTTGTTGTTGGTTGGGTATTTTCATCACCTCTGTCTTCTCTTCGTTTACTTGCAGTCCCGTCTTCCTTGGCTGCCTCTCCTCTTCTGTCAACTTGTTGGTTTTCGCCTGTAGATCTGCTGAGTTTGTGCGACAAGACACTAGACATAAATCATCATCCTCGAAATCCACATCTTCTAGGCTCTTTTCATCGGTCCAACCAGCGTATGCCCCTCTTATCGTCCGTCATGGTTTGCTGCATGATCCAGTCGACCATGATCAGGAAGATTATGGGTGATAGTAGGGCAGCCTTGTTTTACTACTGTTTTCACTTCAAAGGCGTCCCTGAGCTTTCTATCATCATATAGCATCGTATAGCATGTATCTGTTAAATGAGGTTGATGAAGGTTTGTGATACTCTTTACTCTATACTCTGTTCTATCGTGATGTGCAGCGTGACGTTGTCATTTGGTCCGCACATAGTTTTTACTTCCTGAATCCAGCCTGTTCCGGTCGTAATTTTGAATCCAGATCACTTTTTATTCTCTACAGGATGATGCGGCTTAATATTTTGCTTGGGGTAGAAACAGACAGAGGCATGATTTCGTGCCAGTTCTTGCAAAGACTCAGGTCCCCCTATTTGGAAGTTTGATAAGGTAGTCCTTCTTCCTATCGCCAGGTACCCTTCCTTCCTTCCAAACCTTCTACAGTAGTCGTATGAGCTTGTCCTCTGTTGTCTCTGCGTCTGTTTTCAGTGCTTCTGGAGGAATTCTATCTGGTCTTACTGCTTTCTCGGATTTCAGCAGCTATGTGGCGTTCAGGACTTCACTTCTGCTTTTATCGGAAGGCTTGTGTTTACTGGTTCTTCTGTGGTTGCCGGTGAACGAGTTTGCAGGTGATGGTGGTCGATTCAAGAGTTTTTTGAAGCGGTCAGCCCATCGTTTTCTTTGTTTCTCCTCTTTGGTAGCTAGGTTATCCTCACTATCTTTCATTGGTTTCGTCGGAGTTGATCTCTTCCCATGTAGTAACCCGGTTATTTGATATAGTGTTGTTGGGTCTCTCCTACCAACAGCCTGTTCTGCTTCACTTGCCAATGTGTCGTAGAGGTATCTTTTATTTGTGCGTACAATCTTCTTCACTTTGTCCAGTGCAGTGTTTTGTAGGTTTTATTCAGTTCTTCTTTTCGTTGTTCATCCCTGCACTGCACCGCACCACACTGGTTCATCTCCTGCTTCACCATCTCCCTCTCCCTCCTCTACCAGTTGCTATGTGTCTGTTGAGATCCATTCCTTGTCTTTTTTCTTCTTCCTTCCTGACATGGTTATGCAGGCTTCCTTTCCGCGTCTCTTTCAAAGAGTTTCAACGTTCTTCCACGTAGGTTTCTTCAGGGATGTTGCCTCATGTCTCCCATTTTTTCTTGATTGCTGACGCGAATATGTCCTTTGAAGTTTTGTCCTTCAATTTCTGTTCTGGATGTTGAACTTGAACTGTCGCCTATCACCAACTTCTTTGAAGGCTTTTGACTTTATTTTGAAGTAGGTTCCTTGCACTAGATAGCGAGTGGTGTGAACCACTAACATCTGCTCCTCTTCTTGATCTGATCTTGTGTCCAGTAGGTTGCGTCTCCCCATTGAGATGAAGTTGATCTGATTTTTAGTGTAGTGTGTGCATCTGCTGAAATCAAATCCATGTCGCTGCCTTGTGAATATCCTTGTGTTTGCACACACTACCTCCAGTCACCAAGTCGTTGAATGCGCAGAAGTCTGCAAACAGTTCTCCATTCTCCTTCATCATTTCACCGATTGCTTCTCGACCCATGGTTAGTTCTCTTCCTGTGTTATCTGCTCCCAGTTTGGCACTCATGTCGCACATTAGAATTTCGATGTCGCCAACTGGAGTGGGGTTTTGTCTTTGTCGAGTACTGATTGCAGTTGTCTGTGGAATTCCTCCTCCTTCTCTTGATCTACCTTATTTGTTGGTGCGTAGTATTGAATGATTGTGACTCTCCTTCCTTTTGAGTTGAATCCATCTTGCTCTCATCATCCTGATCCTGATCCAGATGGTGGAGGTGGAGATTGGTTCCGACTGCATGAGAGAGAGCCTTCGATGCTTTCGGGAGGGGGACATCATGATAGCCAGTCGACAACTCAGTGTTCTCGTGGTTGTCGTGTGGGTGACGCTATCGGAGTAGATTATTGATTGTCCAGTTGACAAATTGTAGATTCCACTCGCATTGCATCTGCTTTCGCAGCTTCCTAGCACTTCTACGCCATACCTCCTCATCTCTTTCGCAATCTGAACAGCCTTGCTGGGTTAAAACATAGTGCTGACATTCTATGTCCCCACGTTTACTTTCGCTTTCATCGAGAGAAGAGAAGATACATCGGCCATTTAGCTTTTTGAAAGCTTTCACCAACCGGCATTATTTCGCCTCTCCGATTCCAGCGAGGAATAAGTTTATTTTCTCTTTTTATATTTTCTTTGTGCTTTGAAGTTTCTTTAGCAGTTGGATTGGTTTTCCGGGTAAGGGTTGCTCGCCCTATGACCAAGCTGCGCTCTTTATCCGGGCATAGGACCGGCTAGTAACTAGTGAACTAGTTAGCCAGGCTAGGTTGCCGAAATACGTACAAAATACTAATTGTTTCGTGCGGTTAGGTATATCCTGAGAGTTGTCAACATCTTCAGGAATTACGTTAAAAGAAATTACAATTAGTCAGTTCGAAATCTGTTATGATTTTCCAATCATTAGTTTGCGCTGTGTAGGAGAGTGGAAATCCCCTACTTTTTGTCCGAGAGATATACTGTGTTTACAGTTAGAGACTAGATGATGATATAACTGGAGGGGGGGGGGGATGTAAAAGAGCATTTTACCCTCACTATAGATTGAAACATAGTCCTGCTTTATTCTTGGGTTCCGTTGGGTTGGTCAGTAGTGTACTAACTTCTCTCAACTATTAGTTTTTGTCTCATTTCTAGATGTGAAGTTGAGCGTTTGCAGCTTTATTCTTAAACATGACATATTTATTGATATTATTGGAACACAAATAAGGTACAAGAAGGGAGGGCACCAAAAAATGTGCTACACAAAGCTAGTATAGCAAAATTGTGAAGGCATAAACGATTGAAAGTGGATAAGTAAGAAAGAAAAAACAATGAGAATAGCATAATTAGAAGGGCAGTCCAGTAAGACAGATTCAAAACAAAATATTCACTACTTTACAGCAGCAGAAAATAGAAGGAAGCTGCAGCTTGACACCCTTTGAAACCGCTGAGTTACGTGATCCTTGGGATTCATCATCATCAATATCAGCATAGGACCAAGCATTACTGCATAAAGGTCCGAGTTGCCACACCTCATATTAGTACATCAAGTAAAAGGGCAGTGAGGTGCAAGATGAAGATAAGAAAATTTGGTCAAAAGAAATATAAAGTACTCAAAGAGAGAAAGGGAAAATGGTGAGATTCGGTATAGTGTCGTTAAGATGAGGATAATGTGTGTATACATCTGCGCCACTGACATCGGTCCTGAGCCATATCACCTAGAGTCTCCAACCACTGGTTTGTATTGTCCTGCGGACCCCAACCGGCTAGTCTGCATCGCCCTACATGGCTCAAACAAACATTCAGAGACTTCATATATTGATGCTATGTTTTGGTCAAGGCGCCTCGGGCCGTTTATCAGCCTGAACCTACTTCGGCCAACATTGTATAACGAGGCAATTGATGACTAGGCATACGTAACATGTATCCCAACCATCTCAGTCGATGAAGGTTCGCAACTGTGTCAACTAACTTACCTCTTCTCCCTAAAACTCTGCACCTGACTTCTGCGTTACTCACATGGTGACACCACGGAATATGGCCTATACTACGAAGTCGATGGTGGTCAAACACCTGAAGCCAGCCTTCCTATGTCTGCCAGCTTCAATAGCCATGTTTCACAGGCATAGAGTAGAACAGACCGGACTGTTGTGCAGTACACGCGACCCTTAATAGACAATCGGATATCACTGTGGCGCCGTAGGTGGCGTGAGTTTGCAAAAGCCAGTCAAGCCTTTTGTATCCGTGCAGAGATTTCATCGGCCACTGAGCTACCTTCTTAGTGCTTCTTATTGGTTGACAGATTGGGTCCATGTCAATATATCTGTTGATTGTTGACTGACCTGAATACCAAGCAATGAGACGTCACGCTCATATCAATGCATACAGACAACTGTGGACATGAATTTGACGGGGAAAATGTGAAAATCCTGGATTTAGGAAATACAAAGAACGCCGAAAAACTTTTACAAGCTTGAGGTTCAGGTCAGTCAACAAACAACAGACATATGACATTGACCCAATCCCCCAACAAGTGAGAAACAACTAGAAGGTTAAATTTCAAGTGACCAGGACAACTAATCAAAATATACATGAAGACAACAACAAAACCCTGACAGAAAAAAATCAATAACGCACAAGCCTATAAGGACAAGCTAATAAATAAATTGCAGAGGGGACCCCATCATTCAATTCTTCCTAGAATGACAATGGAAGCTCCATGATTGAACAATCCAGCTCAGAGTACACAACAATGTCAAAATTATCCTCCTGCGCTACAAATATTCTCTATCGTATTACTGACTGCTTATTAGAGATAGAATGTCGCTCAATTTATTTATCGTTTGTCTTCGTTGAAAATTCGTAACATCATAGTCATACCAACTGATTTTATATATTTGTTTCTGAGGTGTTTTGAATTGTTTCAACTTGAAGTGTTGCATTTTTATTCTAAGCTGCACGTGTGTGTTTGTCTATCCCTGCAGATATTCTAATTTCTATTTTTATGGGATTGATTTGTTATAATGTCTGAGTTACCAGTGCTATTTTGCTTGAAATGTACATTCACAGAATTACTGTTCCACATTATCTTATATTTTGCTAGCTGACTAGTTCTCAAGAATCATTGTTTACACCAAAGCATCCTTATATAATTAAAATATTTGACCAACTGTTGCTTCTAGACACATTTCCGTGACATTTTTATCTGGTTGCAAAGTTAAACAAAATGTGATTTTCATTTGCTGTTTTTCAAAATTTAAATTATATCATAACACATCCCAATGAATAATTCAATTCATCTTATAGTAAGCTAGTTTTTTTGATGTCAATTCTCAGATGAACTCTAGTTTCACTCTCATCTTAAATTGTAAATGCTGACATTATTTTTCAACTGACGTGTATTCATCGTTTGCCAGTATTTTCTTTGCCGTTTAACCCTTTATTTTTTTTTTTTTTTTTTGATGTATCATTTTGTTTCCCTATTGGATTTGGCCACTAATCATCACTTCTTCTTCGCCTCATTATCAACTATAGAGTCCTGATGGTTTTGGCATATTTATTGTCAATTTGGGTCCAAACAATGAATCTGGTGTATTTGTCACTGAAATTCGTCCAAACAGTCCGGCTTCTTTGGTAAGTGTATTTTATATCTTGGTAAAAGTTGCATGCACTTAATGTATTCGTTGGACTGTGAATGGATTCAAACAATGCAGCGAGAGAGTGAGAGAACAATATTTACAGATTATGGCGAAATCATATTATTTCATCAAAATCTTCATCAGTTGCCTACAACTAAAATAATTAAGTGAAATATGAATGTATATATGTAAATACACATATGGGTGCTGGTTGCATTACACATTCCTACGTTGATACCACGGAATGAAGACGAGTGCATACAAATCCAATGGAAATAGGCATGCATTAATCAAACTAGCTGGTGAATGTTTTACAATTGTTGGAAGAAAGTTAAATATATTGAACAGCAGTTGCATAGTTATATGAGGCATTAGGCATGTTCAACTTACTCATGAGTATAATAAACAATTTCAATTATGGAAAAGAAATCGTACAATTATCGTGAAACTACTTGGTACAAAAATCTAATATTGAAAAGGGTTAAAAGAAAACAGGAAGAAAGTCCGATACATAGGAGTTTGAAAGTGATCATGAGAATTGTATTCAATAATGGAATCATTAACATTTTTCATGAATGTAATGAGAAATCGAACATTATTTCTTCTTGAATTCACGGGATTAGGAAAGATTTATAACTCAAGATAAGGATAATAACTGCTCAATGTTCTCTCAGATTTCCTTTTTGTTGTTCAGTGTTTCGTAAAAACCGGTAAACCGGTAAAGTAAGCCAGATTGGAGATGAAACGTTCAGGAAAAAATATCGGTAAATTTTTCTGAAACTACAAATTACCTCTGCAAACCTGAAAGAAAGTTTTTTAAATTCAAATAATGAAGTTGTGATATCTGTCTTCCATCTCATTCCTAATATCATCGCAACATATTTATATATATTTAGAGATCATAGTTTACACCTATGAAGTTATTTAAAGTCGTCATTATTGAGAATAGTATGTGTAGAAATATATGTGACACTTAAAAGTACATAAGTTGCTTACCTTCCAGGGATCAATCAGTGTATGTAATCCAGTCCTACAGGAAGTCAATCATGGTCTGACTGTTAGCACTCGTTACATTTGTTCATATCTTAGGCGGAACATCAGTTCCGTTAAAGTTACAGATGTGCCTTGCTGACGAGTCTCGGAACACACGAAACCTGGATGGAGCAGGGCTTTTTGTCAATTGCCTTCATCCAACTAACATCTGGGTTTTAAAAGACTAGTCTTCTAAGCATTCATTTGTGTGTACGTGAACGACATCATTGGTCGAAATACTGAGAATAGGCAGTATTAGATGCTTATCGTTTTCACTGGAACCATGAATATTGCACACTTGTTACTCTTTTTGTGTTTCTCTTCACGTTTTGTCTCAAAGTAGTTTAACCTCTTTGAATAATTTCATGTTGCTTTATTTCTCTTTATATATATATATATATATATATATATATATATATATATATATATATATATATATATATATATATGGAGCATGTTGACTGGCGTAGACACTCGACTATCAACCACTGCTTTATGGACTCATACCTCGCCTTACCTACTGAGGTTTTCAGTGGACAAGTAGCAACATACAAGTGTTGTGTGTAGGCTGGTGCGCGAACCTAGATGTTTTTGGCCACCTAAATCAACCTCTTCTTGATATTTTTACTGACATTGTGTAATTTATTCTTAACATATTTAAATGTCTAGACATTTATTCTCGATTTTGCCTCTGTTATTTTTTTACTATTACTTCTAGCAAGGTGTACTCAGACCTCATGATCGTATACTGGCCATTGATGGTCAGCTTCAACATGACTACGAAAAAACATTGGAATTACTGCAACAATCGAGAAAATCTGTCCGCCTAACAATCGGTAGACAAATTCCCAGTAAAAGTGAGTCAGCACAACAATCCACCACTGCGATAGCACAAGTAACCAGTATTGATGCGAAAAGAAGTAATAATAATCATAATAAAGACCAGGCTAAGCCGTCTATTGTGCCTGGAATTCCTGCCACTGTAACACTGTACAAAAATGATGGTGGACTTGGCTTCTCGATCGTTGGTGGAAGTGATACAGTTTTGGTATGTACACTGTGAAATGAGTTGGGTTTTTAAGCCATAAATATTGCCTACTTTCTTAAATGTTTTAAATTCGTGCATCTTAAGGAGTCAATCACTTTCTCTACCTCTCTCGTTCACCTAGTTGACTAGTCGTTGCATTACCGAACTGATAGGTTGAGCAAAATTACTCTCTTGCAAATGGATGTCTTAATAGCTCACGATGAAGATGGTGAAGAAACATTCACGACAAAATACCAAAACTTAGATAATACCGAATCACGATCAGCTTTTTTCGTGTCTGTAGTCATTGAATAGCTTAAAGTGTTACACAGCCATGAAAGGCCTTCTATATTAATCCCTGAACATTCGAGTACATATTTAGCCTTCTTTTCAATGTCTAAGGCGGTTTTTTAACATCTTAGTGTAAACAAAATCGAATACTATTTCCTGACTGATGATTACAATCATTCATTGAAAACCGCCTATGTATTTTAGGATTTGTTGTTGATGGGAGACTTTTCTTGGGATGTCTTGTATTCAAATTAAAACTTATCTCGCCTACTTATTATCAAAAAACAGCTGCACACTGACCTATTGTCTAACTTGTAGTATTTATATTCCTCCTGAATCTGTATCGTTTAATGCAGTGTTTTCTCTTTAGCATTGGTTACAAAATAGGCATTGTTTCTGTCTTTTCATGGTTCAACTAAAGATGGTAGTCTACCGTCAAAACATTCCTTGATACTCACGTACTCTTGTTAGACCAGTTTTGAAGTATAGTTAAAAAAATGTTACCTTTGCTATGTTATCACAGATTAGATCTAACTATTCAGGATCTAATCTTCTGAATGCTGATTTTATTGTTCGATTACTGTCTAACATTATTCAGATCTTAACATCATCGATTAGTATCCAAACCTTTGAAGTATTTTGGTGAACTGTAATTCGGATATAAAACGGACAAAATGAACGTAGAACCTCTCAGACAAGTGCATCATTTCAAGACGCCACACTTCACAGTTGTGTATGAAGAACAAGTGAACAGAAGAGGACTGATATCAAAGTAGAGAAAGGTGTTTTGGAGGAGAGGGGATTTAAAAATTAGGGTTTATCAAAACATTCAAGCTTTAGAAGACGTCAAAGAGTGAATATACCTGCACCACTTTGACCGATTTACAGCGATTTTACCAAGGGCACTCAATCACTGATGTCTATCGCCTCGAGATCCTCAGTCAGGCAATCGAAACCTCTAGATGACTGAGACCAACAGTCAGGAACTTCATGGACTAGTACCACCTCTTAGTCTGACCACTCTGACCCTTTTACGAGCCTGATATAGCTTTGCTTAGCATTGGATTTTGAGGTGACCCCGTCATGCGCAACATATGTGGAAGCCAACTCAGTTCGCCTTACCTTAACAGTGATTCTACCAAACGTGAGCAATGCCAGGAAGACATTCATTTTTTTCTACTGTTAACGGCCTTGTTTCACAACCGTATAAAAAGACAGGACGAACTGAAGCACACTATACTCGTTTTTTAGTGGATAATTGGATTTCTTGCCAGTTGTTACCAAAGATGACTGAAGTTGGAAAATACCAAACAGACCTCCTGTATCTTATCTGAAATTTCCTCGGCAACCACCCCGTTTGCGCTGATGGTTCGGATACAATCATACTTGTTGTATCCTTGATCAAATAACTTATTACTTCAATCTCAGACAATGAAGTGAACCGTAAAAAACTGATGGCTTATGACTCTGTTTTATTCATGAAATACTCTTACTCACCACAACTTCATCAAACCACCTATACTCTTTAAGCCTATTATATTTGTCATAAATTCCTGGTAAATACATTATTCATCCGCTTGTGGCTTTCACAAACCTTGTATACATTACGGAGTCAGCCGGAGTAACAAGGAGAGTGATAAAATCGGCAACTAGCAACGATCTAGAAGTAAAGATATAAAATATCGATGTTAATAATCACTTCTGTAATGATATATTAAATATTCTTGACTTTTCAAATGTTTCTCTTTTATATACCGTAAAATATTCGTTTTGATTCCGTGTGGATTTTTGTTAATCATAACTCTTAGGTGTTTTATCTTTTCAACTTCTAATGTTTCAGTTGTAAGCTTTGAATTATTATATGTACTTTAAAAAAGTATACCGTTAATATGATTTCAAACTTCAGACATTAAAGTACTCAAAGTTAATGAATGGTAAGCTTTATTACATATTTCTGCATTAGGCTATTACTCGTCAGGTAAAAAAAAATGTTCCATTGGTTACAATGCTACTGTGTGCCAGCTCGAATAAATGGTTTCTCATTGGAAGTTCATCTTATCGAAAATAAAAAGAGATCAATGAGTACCGTTACTTAATTTCTATGTGGATCACTAATTATCGCCTTAATCATTGACGCCTTATTTGATGTTTTTGTTGTACTTCTTCTCTCTGTAAAACTAATAAATCAATTTCCAGTTAAGGTTAGGGTTCTCTATCTTATATGGTTTTCATGCATCATTCCTATTAGCATTGTTAAATGTCAAACGATGTACTAATAGTTTTAGTTCATTATGGTCTACAAATGTGCGTATGTGTAAGTATGACAGTTGTACACATGAATTTGATTACAGACTTAAACACTCTAAATGATCTTGTAAATGATTTTTCTTCTTCTAAGGGTAATATTTTGATACATGAGATTCACTCCGGTGGTGCTGCTTCACGTGATGGTCGACTACAGGTTGGTGATCGTTTATTAGCTGTCAATGGAATTGATCTTCGTGAAGCTACTCAAAAAGATGCTACAAAAGTAAGTTTGTTATCGAATATTCAATCTTGACTGTGTGTAGGATTATTTACTAAAATCTCGGTTAATCAGTTAATGGATTGATATCTGTAGGTATTATTTATTAGATTACAGTGTTCTTTCACAAAGTAAGCGAAAGAATGTATATTCACTACTAGGACCTTCATAATGACTTTTTCAATAAATGCTGGAGCAGGATTGTCGGATAAGATTTCAAACAGTATAGTGAAAGTCAAAATTTGTGATAGGAGTTGCCTTTGGATTTCGGATGTAAATCGTTGATCGTACCACGCTCCAATATTGGAAGTTCATTCAACTGTAAGCCTACGAAACTTCAGTTTGCTTTACAAAGGATTTCTATTAGTTTTTCTCCATCTAAAAGATATTCGTTATAGTCAAGATGTAAAGCTTTTTTTAATCGTTTTGGTTGATCAGTTATAAATAGTAAATCATACGAAGATGACTTTCTATTACATAGTCTAAATGTTTCTGGTTTCATCTTTGAACATTGCCTGACGCTTATAATCGTTGCTTTCTTCTTCTTCTTCTTAAAACAGTATCAAGTAGTCTCCGATTCATTGGAATATTTTCTTTTGTCTCATAATGTATATACTTTACCTAAGATATCACTTCTTTTTTCCCCATCGTTTACAGATTATACGTGCAGCTGAAGATTGTATCCAATTACTGGTATACAGGGATCCTGAACCACAGTATCTAAATCAAGGTGTATTTGAATGCTATAGTGTTACATTGAAACGTGATGTACCTGGACAGAGTTTGGGTTTATCCTTAATTGGTAGACCTCACTATTCAACTGGTACAGCGATTGGCGGAATTGTAAGTGTGATTCGAATTGACAAAGGCTGTTATAGTGAATGTGTTGTCATAAGAAGTTTTCTCCTTTTTATTTCCTTCTGATTTAACACAATTAAAATGAATTTCTTAGCATTGTAGGGAAAAGTCACTCTAGTAATTCTTTTCCTGTGTTTGTGTGTTATCTTCATCTGCCGGGTGATTTGATGATTAGCATCACTAAACTACTTGGCTATTCCTTATTTATCTCAATCCACTAGGAGAATGCTTACTTATCCAGTGGCTACTTGCTTGTGATTAGCAGTGTATTTATCCTGATCTGTCATGTTATACAGATTAACACTGGTTGGCGACAGGCCATTGAAGTTATCTCATGGATATCAATCATAGCGGATAATAATTTTAAGTTTGGATCACAGATTGGTTTTATATTCAACTCGTTGTATTGATGAGTAGACAGTAGTTCACGGTCGTTGGGAAATTCAAAGGGATAGGATTTTCTGGGATAAGAACAATTCTAGTATAATCATTCTATAAGAACAATTTGTAAAACTTAACTTGATTGAAGTTAATTTTGAGACTGAGAATAGATTGATAATTCTTTGCATTTTTTTCGTGTTTTGTATGTTCTCTCTCCGTCTCTTTCTGCATCCTCTGGATCGTTCGTTTTGATGGGTCCAACGTTCCTGGAATAGAATCTATATCTTCTCTTTGAGCCTAGCACCGATAGTATTTACTTATTCAGATTACTTTTAGTAACCACTTATCGACATTAATAACTATGTTCTGCCGGCAACTGATGCTATTTTTAAAGTATATTGTTGCTGAATAAAAACTATTGATACTAATAGGAAAAAGTTTACTGTCCAGCTTACCTGTCGTCTTCGTTATTTACTCTGACTTGTACTACGCATGCCGAGTCACCCTCTACCTCGACGTGCCATGGTAGGAGAAGTTGGATTAGGATGGAAAAGGGTTCGGGGTAGCCGGCCAGATCAAGACCTGGCACCTGTCCATGAAGTCGCTAACTGTTGGCTTAAGCCATGTGGGGGATGTAGACAGCTTGGTTATAGTCCCGGAGACGATGCGAATCAGTTTTTGAGGATACTTGGTGACATGACTGAAAATCGGTCGAAATGACTCACATGTATTCACTCCTTGACATCTCTCGAAGCTTGAATATTTGCACTCACCTTTATCTTCAGATTGTCTATTCTCTCACACTACTTCCTCTACTTAGACGTCACTCCTTTTCTATCCACCTATTCTTTGTATGGTATTCTACTGTGAAGTGTGGGAACTTGAGTCGATGCACTTGTATGCAGGGTTTTACGTTGATTTTTTCGATTAGTCAGTCAGTTATTTACTCTCCATGGACACAGTGTTACTTTTTTTCAAATTTGATACTGTGAATGCTATCTTATCGACATTATATATATGTAGTGTATGCCAAGCCACCACCTACTTTGATGTGCGATGCTCGTGGAAGTTAGATTACGTTATGAGATGGTTCACGTTGGTTAGCCAGTCGTTATTGAACTGAAATTGTATGACCACATACCTTAGCCGTAGAATATTCAACGGCAGTACATATTGTATCATTTTACTAGTATGGAATCCGAAGTATTGAGAAAACAAAAAAACTACAAGTAGTATATCAAAATCATTGACAATTTATGTTATTAAATAACCTCATTTGTAACACCACTGAAAACATGAGACCGCTGAACAGCTGTTTTGCATTCGTTTTGAACTCCACAGCAGCTGCACCCATCCCTCTGAGAGAGACTACGTCCCAAAACTACCAGTTAAATTCTGTGTAGTCCCGAGTGGTTTTCAATTTTGTGGCCATTAGATTTATATGCTACTGTAGGTGACACATCTTTGAATAACACATAGTGAAAAGTTTCGTGAACAGAGAAACTGTATTGAGGAAAATTAGTGTGAATAGTCATTTTGAGAAACTCTTGAGTTGTTAAAAATGATCCCTTTTCTACTGAGCTGAAAGTCTACCGAGTGATATATTTGGTTAGGACTAACCTTTGAGCCAATATTACTATATGATGTTCCCTAGTATTGAGTGATCTCGAAATTCTACAGTAATTAACTGATTTTGTCGTGTTGTCATTTCTATGAGTATTTCAGTTAACTAATATTTTATTTCTTCTGGACTAAGCCTTTTACACACGCACACACCAACAAAAGCATAAGCCCTCTCTTTAGGTTTTTCTTGTGAAACTGTTATTCTGATTCCCCAATCTTCGAACTCAGTTTTTACTGAAATAAGGATTAGTCTTCAAGTCTGTCTATAGTACTATTCATGCATAGAACAAAAAAAAATCTGACTTTAGTATTGACTTCATCTTTTCCACATTTATTTATCAGTCAGTGTAAGAATCACTTCACTTTACTTGCTTATCGGTTATATTCGCTGTTTTCATAGTACTGCATTGTATTTTTTCTAATTTCATTACATCTTCACATACAGACGGAGAATAGTCCAGCTTCTCGATCGAATTTACTAGAGGTTGGTGATATCATTTTAGAAATCAATGGTTGGGATATGCGTTTAGCCAAATCCGATGAAGTGGTCAATCTACTTAAGGTTAGTTTTCCTGCTCACGTGTGAGTTTTTGGTATATTCTATTAATAGTCCAATATTTCACGTCTTTTTTCTCAGTCTACTGCATAAAATGAAGCGTGAACCGGTTAGGCAAATTGTTTTGACTCAACAGTTTGTTGTAAACTACGTCCAAATTAAGTATTATACCCACCGTTTCTTGTTATTGCTTTGTGTGTATACCCACACCGTACCAAAATTTCAATTGTCAGGTGAATAGAGCATTATTTCACCGTAATACAGTTTGCAGTCAGCGTGTGATCAAACATACCGTCTTAGCTGAACTAAGTTTAGGTAGAAAAAACGTTACAGATGACCAAATCAGGAAGTCGTAGACTGTTAGTCTGAGCGGTATAGGCATTTGTAAGCCCTAAGTTAGGTGTTCATGAGACAGCTGAAACTGGTGATTAGAGACTATAGATAATATGAACCAAAGTCGCAGTGGTACAAATGCCTTTCATTTCTAGCTTCATCTAAACCCGTTATATCACATCTTGTCATTTACTCTATCGCTCTTCTTCGTCTTGTTTTACGATTTCCTGTGTCTTTTGATCCAGACATCTCCATTCTGTTGTTTTTCATCATGTTACTCTGTGTGTTGATTTTCGGATGTGATGTATGTACGCTTTTGTCTTAGTATCACCATGTCAGTAACGCGGAGGCCACCTTTAGAGTTTTAAGGAAAAGTGGAATGTCAAATGAAAAGATCGCAAGTCTTCATGGAATGAGATGGCTGGAACATATATGCGCATGTCTGGTCACCATCTTCCTCATTACACGATGTTGACTGAAGTAGATTTAGGCTGAGAAAAGGTTAACGGTGGTGGTAAGACTGAAACACGGAACCAGTCGCTGAAGTCATTGATTGTTGGTATAAACCATGTCGAAAAATGTAAACTAGGCGGTTGAAGTTCGTCGTGCAACGGAAACCAGTAGTTCGAGACTTTGGGTAACATTGCTGAGAATCGATGTCGTTTGCGCGGATGTATCCACATATTATCTTTATCTCAATTAGTATACTGAATTTTATTATTGTCTCATTCTTCCCTGCTCTCTTTTCACAACTTTTTTTTTCATTTGTCATACATTTTGTTCCGTTGGCAAATTTGAACAATACAAGAACAAAGACATTCGCAGAATCAAATGAGCTTATTTTATTTCATGGCCTTTCATCACCTGCAAATAGCCTACAGTCAAAATAAAGTATTAGTAGAAATAATGGCACCACATACCTCTTAAATTTGTAGAAATAAATGGATTAATAGCCAGTAAGTAATTATTGAAGAGATGATGCAATCAAAAGAAAAAGAAAGACTAAATTTATACGCATGCAAAAATTGTATACAGTTATCAAGGTAAAGAAAAGTTAATTACAGTCTCCTTCTGAGTACATAGGTCAGGTTGAAAATGTTTGATAGCAAGAGCTTCCACAAACCATAATAAATGTGGCGTTCTTTGTTTGTTGATTATCCTGAAGAATTGAGAAACATCTATTCGATGTCCTGTTTCCATCGGATGCCTGGCGATTGTGTTCTTAAAAACCTTACTACCATTCATGCACAGATTTCTCGGAATATGCTCATGAATTCAAGTAGACGCCCTTCTTTCAGCTCGTCCTATGTACTTGCTTCCACAAGCACAGGTGAATTGATAGGTGCAGTTGGAGGTGACGTGAGATGGGTGTTTGTCTACTTTCGACTGTGTTATTGAGCACAGTGTATTGTAAACTGAGATCAGTCCGGCAGTAGGAAAGCTCCTTCTCATTGCAGCTTTTATTCTTCAGTCTATTCTTTCAAATGTCTCATCGCTTTTTGGATGCTTTGGTGTCAGTAAATTCTTTTCCATGCTTAATGATGAGTTTCTTTGGATATCCATTCTCTCTGAGAGCCTTCTCAATTATCCTTAATTCTTATCTTTTGAGCACAGCGTTTTTCCTCATTTACTTCTTACTTCCTTATTTCTTTCTGTATCTTGAATGTTGATGGATTCTCGCTTGATGTGCTGGAAATTTGAAGGGTTACGCGGTAACACCAGGTCCCAAGTGAATATTCTCTCATCTACATGTATAGCTCTACACCATTGTAATCAGTCGCATGTCATATATAACCAACAGTCTTCCATCATGAATTTCACTTATCGTCCGAAACCCAACTTGAAATTCTTCAGTGCATATTATTATTTGTCCCTTGGGTTCCTAGTGGAACATAGGGCTTCAGTAGCACGTCTCCATTACACACTCTGTTCTCTGCAATCTTTTCAACCTGGCTCCACGACAGTCTCGAAGCTCTCATTTCTTCCTCACACGATCTCTTCCATGTCACCCTCGGATGCCCAACTCGTCGTTCCCCATCTGGGTTCCACTCGAGTGCCTGGCCTGATGCGTGATGTCCCCAATCGGCCTTCTCAGTGTATGCACAATCCATCTCCACTTCCTTCTGCATATTTGTTGAGCGATGGGTTCTTGGTTGGTTCGTTACCAGCCAGCCAGAGTGTGTTCCTTGTTGCCTTATTCTTTCTGGCCATCAGTATTTTCACTTTGGGAGAAAAACAACACTCAGTGAAATACACTTACGTTCAAGTATAATTAATTTTTGAATAGGAAGTAACATCAATTATTGGATTGCACTGTTAACCATCACCATATATCTAATCAAAACTATTGTAAAAATGTCACCAGTTTTAAATAAATAAATAATGTTTGTGTTATTTCATACTTCATATTAAAAAAGGTGGCATATAATTAATTCTAATATGATTTCACATACAGACTTAACACCAATTGAATATGCTAAGTTGTTGGTGTTTTTTTTCTCCTTTCTCATGATTTGCATAATACATTTTAGTCTGTTTACCTGAGAATTAATAAAGAACATTATCCTGTTTTTTTTGTTGCCACTCAGGTCTATCATGTCAAAAATTCTCTTCATTGTGTGAGATATGCTGTTGTATTGTTATGACAATCTCAAAAGGTGTACGTGTGTGTTTGTGGAGGGGGTTATCACTATGCTCAATGCTGTTTCAATGCATTGTTTACATCATAGAGATTAAAGTTGTTAATGATTGATGATAATGGTGGAAAAGCTGATTATCATCATCATTACAATATGTGCACGAGAGTTGGTAAATGACTCAGCATCGAGGGAGCTCCTTTGGTTCAACTAGGAATGTAAAGGTCGATCATTGATTGGGATGGTGATTTTTAAACTATTGTTCATGAGATTGTAATGACCAAGAAACCTTAGACTTTCCACGATGCAGATGGGAATAGTTGTCAAGCTTTCTATCATTAATTGGAGTATTCATCTATGTCAATCTCTTTTCGTTATGACCTAATGCAGTTATCAGACTGTAGCTGTTGGAAACGCTTATGAAGAGTTGTCAACTGAATTGTTGGCAACTACTGGTCTCTACGAGCGTTTTCCACTGTCACCGTTCCTGTTTAACTTCGTTCTACGTGTACCAATAGACATAATACTTTGGATGCCTCTAACTTCACAGGGATTGATCTACTCACTGCACGGCATCAAGTTGACTAGGAGTATCTATGGTATACGTTCTGCACCAGTCAGATGCAAAATAATGCTTGAAGACTGATATGCAACTACTCCTAGTTTAGTGATCGGGAGTGAAGTGATAAGATGTGTCGACCATAAACCCGAACAGGGTGGTTACTGACGATAACTCAGCTGGGATATAGAAAGCCCGTTTGGCACTTGCCGTATTTCGTCATCTGTGGCGTTGACTGGCGAGATATTCGGCTATCTATCAAACGACGAGTATACTGCACTTTAGTCTGTTCTGTCACACTACTATGAGACATTTCCACTAACCGTGATTCTCCAATTCCCGTTCTTCCTATGGATCTTTGTTTACTTTGATATCACTGTTTTTCTGTTCACTAGTATGTGAGGTTCTACATTGATTTTGTCTGTCTTTCTGTAGGTATTCTTTAAACAGATGAGCTTTTCTCTTTGTGATATAATTAGCCAATTGAAGGTGGCTATTAGTTAAGTTCAGAAAGTGAGTTTCATCCCATTTAGGACTCGTCAGTTGAATGTACCTGCCTCCCAGAAGTGATGGCGTTTTTTCACTGCAATCTGAACCTATCAGTTCAATGAGAAGTCGTAACCATAGTGCTCATTGGTGATTAGCTTCGAGAGGTGGTTCTCGAAGTTCCAATTAGAAGTCGTGACCGGTCGGGCAAACCTGGTGGCCGTGATGACAACTACCCAACGATGACATTGGGTAGCGGTTACGGTATATTGTGAACTGACAGAAGTTGGAAATATGAACCATTGGATTCCGACCCAGTGGCTCAATGGTGAGTTGCTGGTCATGGAGCCTGAAGGTCGCGGGTTCGATCCCTGGAAGAGTAATGGGCATGCACTGCTGAAGAGTCCTATACTAGGACGAAACAGCTGTCCAGTACTCCCAAGTTTCTAGTTTTCCTCCAGTTGTTGTCAATTCATGATGAATACCAAGTTGAAAAATGTCTGATTGTTATTCATGAAGGTTAGTGTGTCATAAGATCCTGCATATCAGATGCTACTGATTGATAATAGTAATTTCCTTTTGACGATTGCACTGTGAAATTCTTTATCCATCATCATATCTTGTTCTTCTTTACTTTTTTGATTATAGAAGGCTCATGGTGAAGTTAAATTATTAATTGGACGTTATAAAACTTCACCATCACTGTATGGTAGGTTCAAATTCCCTGTTATTATTTTTTTGAAATTTTACTGTTTCTTTTTCTATAATTTTCACAATACCACTAACTGTTTGTTTATTATAAATTTACCCTAATATTAATCATAAAAACAGATAGTGAATGAACAAGTAATCAAGGTAATTAGGCCAACTGACTTTCCAAATCAAGCATTATTATAATTTACTGACCATAACTAACTAACTCGCACTGTTACTCAGCTGACCTTGAAATGGTTTCGGTTTGTTAAGGTCATACAGTTGAAGTTACGTGTATTTTCTCTTTGTTCTCGGTTCATTGGAGCTAATCAAATGAACGATAAGACACTAACTTATTTTAGTATTCAGTGCATTTTCATAAGATGTATATGCCAAAAATATTTTGGAGTAATATTCATCGTTATCCTGATTGGTTAATTTTGTTTGTTTTAATTTCTTGTGGCATCTGTGTTATAATTTTATTGGTTAGTGAATTGAGGTTATTTTTCTCGAAAAACACCTCACAGAATCTTTGATATTTCAAACTGTTTTAGGTGGTAATTGACAAAAATGACGCTTGTGTCACCTAAATACTTAGGATCATTGAAAATCGAGTAATTATTTTTGTGTTTTTTCGAAGTACTTATGCTGTTATAAATGTAGCAGTTATCAATTACAAAGTAAAAATTCCCCTTCATCATGAAGAACATAATTCGCAAAAAATGAAGTAGTTAATTCCATTTGGTTCATAAAAAGACAAGTTATCGAATTCGGACACAATCTCTTCTAAAATGTTATTTATCACTGTTTGAGGCGACTTTATAGTTACCAGTACTAGTGATAGTTTTAATTAGGTTTCTTGTACAGTGATGGCTCATTGGTTTAGGGAAGTGACTTTTGACCAATTAGTCGCGGGTTCGAGCCCTGCTCCGATTGCCGAGGTTTGGGCAGCCAGGTAGTATCATTAGCCCTGACGCAATAAGTGTGGCTCGTTGCCTAATGTCCCAATGTGCGCAGGTTTACTGAGTGGGTTTCCATTTTCGTTTCGAATTAGGTTTCTTTACTATTTGGGAAACTATCTTTCTAGCTAAAATAGAAAAACATGACTAGTTATTTCGCAAGCTGCTACCGTGGCTTTCAGAGTCGTCCAGTGTTATGGCTGACCTACAGGCGTCTGCAAAGATCAGTCTAGCAACTACTGAAGTGACCTTTTGGCTTCTCTTGACTACAGGATTGACTTTTTCATCGAAGGAGTAAACTCGATTGGTTATTTCAGTAGCTGCTGAGGTGATCACTTGTTTTTCGTTTTTCTAACATCCAATTTCATCAAGATTGTTAAAGTGCCTGGATTTGCTTGCTTAAAATATATACTTGGATGACCTTGGTTCAGCCCTTATGGTTTGGATCAGGTGCAGAGATTCTTTACAATGAATATATGAGGTTTAAAGTTCGTTGATTACACCTTGAGATGTCTCAGAACTGGGTAAGCTTCCAAATATCATGGTGTTTCCCGTCTTTCGACAGACTAGTATGTTATCAACGTTGCTTTTAGTTATGTTTTAACAATGTTTACTTTTGATCACCAACTTTATTTATTCATGGCAGTTATTCATAAGCGTGGTTGGATGGTGTTCTCCCTAGCTTTCAACACTGATATATATACTTGAAAATTCTCCTTTTCGATTCCTTATTTGTTAAGATAGAAGCCGTTGACAGTAATGTATGCAAAGTTATGTAAGTGTAAAAGAATCTCAGTCTCAACTAGGAATAAGAAAAGTTACAATGAGGTGATCGGATACTGAAGTTGCCGATATAGTCTCAACTAGGAATTGTTTATGTACACCGAAATGTTATCCTTTCAAGGTGTATTTTTCTATTACTGGTTACTTATTTACGACGACTGAATTGTTGTTCTTAATTGAAATGAATGACCTCTGCTGTTAAGAAAATTCATCTTCAGATAATGTCTGCATTGCGTAGCTCATTGACAGTAGTTAGAAGGTGTGGACCCCACTAGGTTTCAACTCCACAGCTAAAATGGTAATGCATTCGCTGTGAAATCCGACGGTCATTAATCCTTTATCGGTGAGTCATGGTTGTGAACTCCTGAGGATTTGCAGGTTATAACATGACAAATTTTTAATACTGTTTACTGTGGTTCTGTGCGTGATGTCATCTATCTTCAAACCAACCATCCTCCTTCCATCATTTGTGGAACTTTTTCTTGAAAATTTAATACCTAGGAAATATCGTATATATGCTGTTTAACTGCACTATAAATTTACAGTGTCATAGAGGATTTTTGATCTATACTCAACTCACAGCATATTGTACAAGTGAGTGGCTAGCAGCTTCAAAGCACTAACAGTCGGTCTAGAAACACATATTGAAATATTTTCAGTAATCCAAACTTGATTAGCTTCTATAACTTGCCAGGTGTTAGCTAGCAGATGAATCCAGGCCGCATGTTTCGTCGTATTCGGGACCTGTCAGCTGGATATACCTGCACCTGAGTGAGTGATGGTGTTCTCATCAATACTGGAACCGAGTCTCCGTCGCTTCAAGCATCAAAGCGTTATCTACTGAGGCGCTAGAGTCACCTCCTGTACAGTGGGTATCAGTTACTTTTGTTTATTGATACCTGTAATTTCTCGTTGTTCTACTGGATCTAATTGATCAACCTCTGTTAGCATAATAATAGATTTTTTTTCACCTAGTGATAGAAATATCTGTTGGCTCTTTAAGTGTATAAGTCAATGCATAAGTCAGTTAAGTTATGAAGTGACTGACAGAGCAATAGGAAATAAGAGGACACTACTAACGTAATGAGACACTTAAACTGGATGCAAATAGATACTACTCTCCCTTAGAACTTTGTACCCGCGGGGATCAGATGACAAAGACCGATCTGTGAGGAAAACTCTTCATTTGACAAAAACAGACGATGCAAAACCGCTAGATCAGAAGTTGGGTACTTATTTTAATTGATGAACTGTGAGATGAAATTATTCAATAAGGTTTTCCTTACCACACAGTAACAAGAAACAAGGTTGGAATTCGAAACTTCAACCTTAACGGCTGATGACTTAGAATGTTGATTTCAATCTAGCCCACTTCCTATTACTTTACTGGTCACCTGCACACACATAAATCGAACTAGTTTTATGTTGGAAGACAGTTTTCATGAGGCTGGAGCATCAGTTGATGGGAATATACATTGAAAATGTAAAAGCCATTAGAAACCTGTTATTTTTTAAGAAAGTAAATGATGTCACTAACTAGTACTCATTTTTATTATACTGTGGGTTTAATTTGACACCGTCAATTTCTGGAAACAGGTATTGTCACTGACTGACAGAATCAACGTAGAACCCTGCATACAAGTGCATCGACTCAAGTTCCCACACTTCACAGTAGAATACCATACAAAGAATAGGTGGATAGAAAAGGAGTGACGTCTAAGTAGAGGAAGTAGTGTGAGAGAATAGACAATCTGAAGATAAAGGTGAGTGTAAATATTCAAGCTTCGAGAGATGTCAAGGAGTGAATACATGTGAGTCATTTCGACCGATTTTCAGTCATGTCACCAAGTATCCTCAAAAACTGATTCGCATCGTCTCCGGGACCATAACCAAGCTGTCTACATCCCCCACATGGCTTAAGCCAACAGTTAGCGACTTCATGGACAGGTGCCAGGTCTTGATCTGGCTGGCTACCCTGAACCCTTTTCCATCTTAATCCAACTTCTCCTACCATGGCACGTCTAAGTAGGCAGTGGTTGGTTGGAAATGTTCATTGTTGAGAAAATTTAAACAAAACTAAGATGATAGGACAACTTGTCTTTCCCTATCCTGTTTATAACTTTTTCTCATAAATTTTTTTTCTTTTGATAACAAAGCTTAAATCAGCCAATATTTTAACAGTTGTAAATTGTTCAATGTTTGCATACTTTGTTTTTTTACAAATTAAAGTTTCGTTTTGTTCTTTCTCCTCTCCCTTTTTTTCCTCTCTCCTTACACCTGCGTTGATTATACTAACCATATATACACTGCCTTGTTGTGTGTGCATTCTACTTACCCGACACCGACTCATAACTTCCTTTTTCATTGATTTTGGCTTTCTTCATTGCATCCAATGTGTTTGTATGCTCACTTATATTCTACTGATAATATTTTGTATATGCGCATAAAACTCCATCATTGCTGTTGTTGTTTCATTGTTGTGGTTATCAATGTTCTGTTTATGTCCACCACCTTTATTTCGTATCATAGGTCAATAGTTCAGCTTGTTCACCTAGTTATCTTGTTGTAGTTAGCTGGGGCTGAAAATGACCTGTAATTGGAGTGTTATTTAAAGGGAAAAGATAATATAGAAACAGGCTGAAATGTTCATTTTCGTATTTATAAGCTACTCACTGATCAAAACATTTTGCAAGATGAGAAAGAATAGCACAGATATTACATAACGCGTCCAGGGATCGTTTGTTGTTTGTTTGTATATGTGCGTTGTGTATTAAGATTGGTACTGACGCATGACTAACTGTTATTACTCAATTCCTCTTATTTTATACGAACTTTATGTTAAAAATATTCTCTTTTCGCTGTTTTCTTCTCTACTCTTACAACTCTTTTCGTCAAAATTATTAATAGTAGGATTCATAGTGATGTTAGTATTACCTGTTAAGGTAGGATTTTCTCTCCATAACTCGATGTTATCGTGTCTTTTTCTTCATCGTCGTCAGCTTGGGTTCCCACTGCATCTGTGGGTTTTGAGGTTGTATCTTTACTGTATATACCACCGAACTCTTTCATCTTCATCGTAATTCTTTTATTCGTTCTGTGTCTGTGTGTCTGTGTGTACATGAGTTTTATGGAAACGTGCATATACACACCTGCACATATAGGGAAATGTTTGTGCTATTCCTTAGTATCTCTATACTGCTGAATAATTTTCGTAGAGAAAGCAAACATTTCCTTCAGAACAGATTTTCTTTTTGTAATCTGTCTTTTGTGCAAGTGATTATGTTTTTTAAACTGTTCTCTCCCCCTGCTTTTATTTTCTCTTCATACTACCTTCACACACTGTAGTTGGTCTATGTGTATTTAGATGAATGCAAAGAGAGGTATGTTCCATATTTTTTATCGTCAAGTTTTTTTCTGAACGACTTGAATAAAAGAATCTTTAATTCATATTACTACTTGTTTCTTGGTTCTACGCCTATCAGAGTGTGGTAGTTCGGTGTATCTTATGTTGTTGTACATACTGTACATCAGTTACAGAGTTGGGTTCTGTATATAATAGCTTTGCATGTGTCTATCTGTATGTATATGTAGATGAGTGCATCTATGCCTCACTTTTGTTATGCAGACATAGGTATGTTGTCCTCTTTTTCCCAGCTTCTTTTTCTCACATATAATATCCATCTTGTTTGCATCTTGTATCAGTAATGAATTTGTATCATGTTTAGTAGTCTATGTGATATTGTGGATTGGATGACAATTTGTTCATTTCTTATCTCTGTGTTGTATGCGTTATTATAGCTTATCCACGAAATCGATTACATGTTTACGTAGTTGTATTGGAACGTCGCCAATTAGGATTCTCTAATATTCAAGATGGGCATCAGTCAACTTGTGGACAGTCAACACCTGCACCTGATGAAGAACAGCAACTACTATCACCACAACAACAGTTTGTCAGTCATGTAAATCAGAATGGATTATTATCACCACTAATCAGCAAACAAGTAGTCGGTGATCATAATACTGATGATGGTGGCGGTGGTAACGTCGACGAAGATATTGACGCTAACGATGAAATTGCATCAGCTGCATTCGGCCTACGCATTCGTGAAGCGAATTCACAAGAATTATGGGATTCATACAGTCGATTGATTGTTGACAGTATTCAACCTTATAGTCCAGCTGATCGATCAGGCATGATTATGGTGAGTAATTGACTCCTTTATTTTTTTCTAAAAACGAATGTAAACATTTTTTTGGGGGAGGGAAGACTACTGAATTATCCATAGGTGATGGCGTGTAAATCTTATCCATTTATGCAATTGACTTGCAAAATGACACTGCACGTTCATACCTCTATGAGGTGTAAACGGTTGACTATTCAGAGTAACACTTAACCCTTTATGGGACAAGGGCAGCTGTGATTCAGTGGTTTATAGAGTTGATTTTCAGTCAGCTGGTCATGGGTTCGAACCCTACCTCATCTACTTAGGTTTCGGCAACCAGATAGTATTACTTAACGTCACACAACAGGTGTGGTTCATTACGTACTGCGTAGATGTGCACGACGTGGCTGAGTACGTTGTATTGTTGTGTTTGCCTTATAGAACAGTTCTGATCTACAGTTTATTAGACAAGCATGAATCTATATGTTGTTGAGAAGAATAATTATTTGGGGATATATTCTTCTTCACTCATTTCTTATCAGTCTTCACACTTATAAATTGATGGATATTATCACAAAATAACCAACACTCACTTGATAGGGTTATGACCAAGTTCTTACTGAATGAATAAGCATCAGTGTACAAACACAGAAAACTGCTGACTTAGTTGTATGTGTATATCACATCATGAAATTAAATGATCACTTACATACAAAACATGTGATCAAGATAAGATAGTTGTTGTCTACCGATCATATGATAGGTAGTTAGTGAAGCATAAAATGTAAGTTACTAGACAGGGAGTGGCCTGTGACCTCCTGATGATGAAGCAGAAGAAGATTCACTTTTGTATTGATAGACCCTTGTGTACTTCGGCATCCACGATTATTAGACTGTTAGATACACACATGATGTAATATTTCAGATATTTTCAAGTTTACTTTCGGTAGGTAAGTGTGAAACGAATAGAAACGTGTTCAACACTTCGTTGATCTTTTAAAACATACCTACTGAGTTACATAGACATATTTTTCCATATGACCATGGTGTATGTATGTGTAAGAGAGTTTCTCTCTCTTTCATTTCTTTTTCTATATCAGCCTGGAGATCGTTTACTGACTGTGGACCGTGAGCCCGTGGATTGGTTAAGTCCAACTGAAGTTGTGCAGCTATTGGCTACTTTACCTTACTGTACAATTGAATTAGGTCGTTTACCCTATTTAAACCCACCTTCCGATGTTAAAGTTCATAATCACGCTTCAATGATCAATAATGCTGTACATAACGATAACAGTAGTAATAGTCATTCGTCGACGCCATCTCCATTTCAACGAGTTGAACGGGAAGAGCATGATATTCACCCACCATATCCACCACCATCAGAAGAATTGCCAGCATTGTTTGGCGGTAATATGCCATACATTGAACCGCCGAATTTTATACGTGATATGGAGACGTTGCGTGAACAACCAGATGATGATCTCGACGAACAAGCAGAGAATATAATTGAAAATACGCCTAATCAAGTAGGATTCGAAAGTCTACTACAAAAACCAACAGATTCTCGATATGAGCAAAACCAACCGAATACTATCGGCAGCAAAGATCACATCGACTATTTGACGGTGAATATGACGCCTTTAAGTTCAGATGAAATAGAGAAAGCCTTAGAGTTGGCTGAAAGAGCAAGTGGAGGATTTTATGTAAGACAAATCTGTTTACCAGCTGCGCCTTTAGTTAATACTCCAACGAAAGATGAACTAAACCAGCATGAATCATCCCAACCGCGTTTAGGCTTACGCCTTATTGATGGTCCTGGTGTAAGTGGGCCAGTAGTTGTACGTATTGAACCAGATTCGTGTGTATCTAGAACAGATATTCAAATTGGTGATCGTATTCTTGGATTAGACGATAAATTGTTACTTTGTTTCAGTCAAGGTCAAGGTGACAATTCCGCCAATGATATTCTACGGACGATTGAAAATATTTGGATTTCACGTTCAATGAATTCTTCTTCATCTGAGTTCACAAGTTATGAACAAAATCCTTGTCGTTTAACAATTATCAGTAATCGTAGTCTAGCATTATCAGTAGCACCAACATCAAATTCATCTTGTATTGACATTGATAGTTGTAGTAATACGAAGAAAGAAGTTGAGGAGCCATTATTGACGGCAAAGCAGACAGTTGAGGTGCTTTGAACTAGATAGTGTACAAATTAATTTTCCATGTTCGGCTTCTTTTACCTTCTGCGTCAGGTAAGATGATGTACACCCTGTTTGTTTAAAGTTTGCTGGGTTTTAATTCTTAGTAAAATAGGTGAATCGACCAATAATCTTACATGACTTCATTGATTGGGATGTCTGTTTCACTGGCTTAACAATCGACTTACAAGCAATGTTTTTTAGGTTCGAATCCTGCGCTACCTACTTCGGTCTGGCCAAGCGGGTAGTATCATCAACGCTTACACATTTAGTATGGCTCAATATGTAAATCTGTACTGCATTGAGTTGAGTTGTGGAGGTACCTGGCGTTTGTTTTACACACCCCTCAAATTGCCATCTACTCTAAGACTCACTGTTAGTTGATTTAGGTTAAGTCTAAAAGAAGCCTAGGATTGGTCAGTCTTAAATGTGGCTTCAGTTCATGACTGATATTTTGAAGCAAGTGGGAATTTTACAGGTTGTCAGATTAGAGTAGAGCTATGGTTCACTTGGTCCAGTCACTCGACGTTCATCCAGCTGGTCACGAGTTTGAACCGTTCTCCATCTACCAAAGTCTTGTCAACCAGATGTATCCCTAATCTTCACACAATCGATGTTTCTCATTCCCACCTTGCACATAGTTACTGAGAGAGTTTTATTTTTAGTTGGATAGAGGAAGCTCTGGACCTAAGTTCCATGCCTTTTGGTACTCGCGTCATCAAGGCGTGTTTGCAACCCTGACGGAACTGATGTCTTGCTTGAGAGTTTAGTTTCCGAGATCGGAGTCCACAAAACAACCTGAATAATTAGTTGTGGATATTCGACTATACGACACATACGATCTTGGTAGCTTCATCTCATCTTCTGAATTCATAGCTCTCTTCGATTTATTCATCATTTTGTGTGGATTTATTTGATTTCCTTTTTGTTGCTTTCTATCTTGGTGTGCTGACATGAGATGTAACAGCTTGGCCCGTAGCACACTGTAATCTGACGTTCTACATTAAAAAGGCCTGTCTTTCAGGGATGACAGCATTGTTGACACACCCAGGCCATAACCAACGTTCTGTGCGGATTGATTGAGACATGGTGTGTTTATCTAAAACTTCAGATGCACTTTGTTTAAGAATGAAAAGCAATAGAAAATCTAATGAAGTTTGAGGAGTTCTGTCGATTGTTTGTTTTCAAAACCATTTAGCATTAATTAACGGATAGGGCAATATCCAGTTGGTTTGGTTATTTTTCTTGTCATACTGTACTAGTTGGTGATCAGTGGATCAAAGAAACTGTTGAGGACTAGAACATACAGTTTAATGAATAGTTTTTGTAAAGTGTTTTTTCTCTTTTCACTTACCGTTTCAATATGGTGTTCTCTCCCTCTTTAATTCACCTGGACCTGGATTTGTATGAGAAGGCTAGGCTGAGCGTGAATACGTTGAATGGACAGTTGTGCTCATCTGTGGCTAGCTTCGAGAGGTGATTCTCGAAGTTCCAATGAGAAGTCGTGACCAGTGGAGTCAACTAAGTCGAATATGAGGACAGTTATTCAACGACGACATCGGATGTCGGTCGCGCTATATTGTGAGCTGACAGAAGTAGGAAATATAGGCCATTAGATTCCGACCCGGTGACTCAGTGGTAAAGTAGCTGACCCCGGGACGTGAAGGTCCTGGGGTCGTTGGTGCGCACTTCTGGAGAGTCCTATACGAAGACGAAACGACTATCCAGTGCTCCCAGGTTTTCAGTGTTCCTCCAACTGATGTCAGCCCATGATGAATTCCAACTAAAAATCAATTAATAAATCTCCACAAACCTCCAGATAAAATCCTTGGTGATTGAAGTGAAACTAACATCTGGTTAGCAGTTTGGTCTCTTGCCTCGGCTGGTAGACCACCGGGCCGGGTAATCCATAGGTCGATGGTTCTAATTCTGTCATGACACAAATTTTCGTTTCACCTTCAATAATCACCCAATATGAATAACAGTTTGTCGAACCACGGTTGTCTTGGATGGTCACTCTGAGAAAAAATTTATGTAAGGAAATTTTTTGAGGGGCTTGCAATGACATCAGTAGTGTTCTTATACACATTTCCAATCCGTCTCACTTCATTAGTATCAGAAAACGATTCATATTATTAGTGTAAAGTAACATGTTTGAAGTTATAGACATTCAATTGGTGATCTGTAGGAATTGTTTGGTCGATTTCAAAGTAGTTTTTTATCACAGACTGGTGTCATTTTGAAAACCACTAAAAAACAGGAGATAGCTGTGTGAGTCTGCAACCCTGTTAAGCATCGAGGCAATAAATCACATCCACTGTGAGATGGCTAGTGCCACTACTTGGCTACCCATATCTTGGCGAATTGGGTTGGGTTCGAACCCGTTACCTATCGACTGAAGGTCCCCAACACTGGCTGTTGGTTTCTCGAGGTGAAGATCACATTCGACTCCGTCGATCGAGAGGTTTTATAGCAGTGTCTGTCACTCGAAAGGGTCCCTAGTAAGTACATCACTCTTAAAGGCTGTGTGCTGGACCACCTATGGGAATGTTAGGATCTATGTTGAGTTATGTACGTTAAGAAGATACATTATTTCCACTCTTATTCAACTTGATCTTAGACATTCTTATGGAAGTTTCCTTATCATCATTTGACCTAACAGGATTTTTCTTGCCACTGGAGACTCCTTGGTAGATGTAAAGTACTCACATGACATAATCCTGTTGGGTGAAAACACTGACAAGATGAAGAGTCTTTCGAACACGAGTGGCAAATTTAGAATGTCTGGGATTCGTTTCTCCGCATCCGACTGCAAATTTTTGCTTCATCTCTGGTCTCCAGTGGTCCCCTGTCCTACAATTAGAAGTGAAACTGATGAGTGTGTTGATCACTTCACTTACCTGAGAAGTCGGATCAAACTTGGTGAGTGAGTGGCCGATGAAATCTCAGCACGAATACAAAAGACTTAATTGTCTTTCGCCAACTCACGCCATCTTTGGCGCCGCCACCGTGATAGGCGATTGCCTAATAAGGGTTCAGTGTACTGTCCTTCAGTCTGTCCTATTGTATGATTGTCAAATACGGCCACTAAACGTAGAAGAGATGAAAAGGATTCGGGTGTTTAACCACCGTTGCCTTCGTAACATAGCCGTGTGTCGTGGTGTTACCGTGTGAGTAACGCTGAAGCCAGGTTTAGAGTTTTATGGAGGAGAGGGAAGTCAGTTGACGCGATGGTGAACCTTCATCGATTGAGATGGCTTGGACATGTGTTATGCATGCCTAGTCCCTGTCTGCCTTGTTGCGCAATGTTGACTGAAATAGGTTTCAGCTGGAAAAAGGCTAGAGGTGGTCAGACAGACATGACACCAGTCGCTGAAGTCTTTGACTATTGGTCTGAGCCATGTAAGAAAGTGTAGGTCAGTCGGTTGATGTTAGTCATGCAACGGAAATCAGGAGTTGGAGACTATAGGTGAAATAGCCGAGAATCGATTTCAGTGGCTCAGTTCTATCCATACATTGTCTTCACTTCAGCCGTCGTACTAAATTTCGCTATCTTTGTCATTTCTTCTATATTTCTTCATTTTTCATCTGCTGTTTTGATACAAGGTATTTGTGAAGCTGTGGTTCGTTGGTTTAGGGAGATGACGATTGACCAAGTGGGTCATCAGCTCGAGCCCGGCCCCACCTGCCGAGATTTAGGCAGCCAGGTAGTATCAGTAGCCTTCACACAATAGATGTGACTCATCGTCTACTTCATTGATGTGCACAGGGTAGCTGATATGACATGTGATAAGTTGAATCGTTCAGCAGTAATACCCAGGTTCTTTGTTGTTGTTTATACTTTACGTGTTTGTCGAATTTTTTTATGCTCCACCTATTTTTATAAAGATAATTAGTTTATTTTCTTGATATAGGATGTGTGCAATCCTCATTCAAAAAGATGTTTTCGTTCCACATTTATCGTATATTTCCCCCAGTTTTTAATGGTTTTGAATTTATACTTGACTTCGACAAGCGTACGTTGGAGGCTTTTTTGCAATACCATTTCACTGCTTCATCAATAAAATAGGAGATGTTTTACCTCATCATTATTCCATGTTCATGCTCCTTAGTACCGTGTAATTGTGTGACATAGCTGATGATTTGCTAAACCTTAAATTCAGCGTTTTTTTAAAATGAGTTAAAGGTTTTCCCTTGACGCCGTTGATTTATTTTTTCTCCTAATGTATCTTACTAACTCAGATTCACGCCAGTTGAAAACTGATATGGATTACATTCAACTTAGTAGAAGACTGCACCATTCAGATGACGATAAACACAACCTCATCATCCCGTCATTACATGATCAGCCAACTTTTGAACCGACAGATGATGTAATCCACCATACACCTACAAAAGATCGTTTCGTTGAAGCATAAAATGATAGTCTTGCTGTTGTTTTACCACGATATACGAACTCTATTCGAAACTCATGTTCATTATCACCAATTCTACAGTCGATCTCATCACCATTGCCATCATCTCTACCACCACCACCACCACCCTTCTGTGTACTGGATGATAAATATGATCAAGATCACACATTAAAAGTCAATCAAGAAATACATGATTAACAAAAAGAAAGGAGATGTTTACATGATGCATACTACTAACTATCAGCAATATTATTATTACTAAAAGTAGTAATGAAGATGAGAAATATAACTGTGAAGAAAGCAGTTATTATTATTATTATTTTTATCATGCTGATTCACTCTTGGAGTAAAAATTAAAATGAATGTGTGGAGACAATTAGTCGACGAGAGGATAAGAATCAGCAAAACAATGTACCAACTCCTATTCTATGCTCTCTAGACAAGAGCAGAAATGGTGGGTAGCAGCAGAAATCCCACTGACTTTATAGCTGTAGTAAGAAAAGCATCCGGATACATGCATCTGTATTTTTGTGGTTTTTCTTTCTTTTGCTACCCACTATTTGAGCTCTTGATAATAAAGATCTCCATTATCAAGAAAAAC